TTGTCTGATCCTTCCCCGCCAGGCTCTGCTCTCTGCAGAGTAATCCCAGCCACTGACAGTGCAGAGGGCCAAGGTGCAAATGGGTTTTCTTCTCCCTAAAGAGCTCCCTTCCCCTTGTGTGGCCAGGTCACCATCAGCCTAGGTTGGGATTTTTGATACTGAAGGTATTTCAAACTCAAGCCAAGGCGGTTTCTGGCATGAAACATCCTGTGAGAAGGCAGCAAGCTCAGAGGTACAAGCTGTTCTTGGGCGAGCTTGAAAAAGACATTTCCTCCTCTGGAGAGCCAAACCCACCAGAAATGGCTGCAACAGCTGGGGCTGGAACCCAGCACCAATACAGAGCACTGTGCAAGGTAGATGTGACACTTGGTCCACCTGCACAGCTTGGAAATCTTCCTAGATGCATTTGAGAGTTTAGCAACCACTTGAGGGTTTAGCAGCCACAGCTGGCCAGGAAAAGGGGAATTAAGGATTGGGAAGGATGGGGAAATTTAAAGCAGAGATGGGACACCATGACACCAAACAGCCCTGGAACACTCCTCTGCTCAGTGGAAAGACATCTGGAAGACATCAGCAATGCAGTAACAATCTGTTAGCAAGGGCAGGAGTCCTCACAGCTGCAAAGCTACAGCCCCTGTGTCAGGAGAAGGGGCAGGGATATGTCAGCAGAAGGTAAGGAATATAAAACATAAACCTTTCTAAACCCATCAAGGAAACTCAAGTATGTTTCAGTGTAAAATAATTAAATGGGCACTAAAAACATTTCTTTTAAAGCCTTCCAGTGCCTAAAAAGGCTGGAGAGGGACTTTGTACAAGGGCCTGGAGTTACAGGACAAGGGGGAATGGCTTCCCACTGCCAGAGGGCAGAGATGGATGGGATATTGGGAAGGAATTGTTCCCTGGGAGGGAGGGCAGGCTCTGGCACAGGGTGCCCAGAGCAGCTGTGGCTGCCCCTGGATCCTTGGAAATTTCCAAGGTCAGGTTGGACACTGGGGCTTGGAGCCACTGGGACAGTGGAAGGTGTCCCTGCCATGGTGGGGGGGAGGGAGCAGGATGAGCCTTAAGGTTCCAACCTAAACCATTCCACAAGTCTGAGATTTCACATTGGATTTGAGATTATTTTTTGAGGCACACACATTTATCAAACAACACAGAAAGTTTTGGCCCATTCATATCAAACTCTCCTAGGTCCAGAAAATAATAACGACAATACCTGATGATGATAACACCACCAACAGCAATGCCATTATTCCAAAGTACCTGCTAGCCATGTGCTGGCCCTTCACCCCAAGATGATGGTTGATGTGCTTCATTCTTTAGATCTTTCCAGCCAGGCTTGGAAAGTTTTGGACTTAACAAAAAGATACAAAAATATAATTATTTTTTTTTTTGGGCAGATGACTGCAATCTAAAGTCCATTGTACTTGAAAACCATGGGCACAGAAGGTTGTATAGATGGCTGGCCACTCAACTCTGCAGTGGGAGTTCCAATAGTGACATGTTTTAAGTGCTCCCCTATAAAGAGACTTTATGATTTATCCAAATTATTTTTTTTAAATTATTTAAACTGAGGTGAAATGTGTTTTAGCTATTCTTCAGGAATATACTGGTTAATTCCACACCTGCTGTTGCAGGTATCCCCAGCCAGGCTGCAGCACCTGTCCATGACTCTCCTCTGGCCCAGAGCAGGAGCTCATCATGGCTCTGGCACTGAGGGGCAGCCAGCAAACAGGACCTGGGCTGGGTGTGAACAAACACCACTTCCCCACGTGCTCCTTCATCTCAGTTTAAGGCAGGAGCCATCACAGAGGTGGCGTGGGCAAACACCAGGCTGAGCTTCTAGAGAAATATTTACCTTGCTCTCTGCTGTCCTGGGGCCCAGGGAGACATCCTGGCCTCCGGGATGCCAGACGGGGCCTGGTGCTTCCAGCCTCACGGACGCAGCCAGGATCAGATGTCCCCTCTCCCAGCCGGCTGAAGACAGGAGCCCCCTTCTGCTGCAGGCTGTCTCACAGGCCCTCCTCCTGTCCCTCCATCTTACCCTGCTGCAAGGAGCACCACAGCTCTTCCTGCCCTTCCCTGCACGGAGCTGAGCCTGCGGCTACACAAACATTCCCAAACCCAAGCACGCCGTGGGATTCTCGGAGCTGTGCTGTGCAGGGCTAGCACTTCAGTGATCCTTCCAGCTCAGGATATTCTATGATTCTGTATGTCTCCAAACTCTTTCCTCACACCCTCCTTGGCCTCATCCAGCTCTTGGGGATTAATATGCCCCACGGGGCCGTGCTCCCTCCAGATGTGCAAAACAGAGCACAAATGCACAGCTGCCCAACTCCCCGTTCTCAGCACCACGGCTCGGGGCAGGCTGCAGTGCTGGGGTGATGAACAGAGCCACCTCCCTTGCTGCAGAAGGGTTTTTCTTCAGCCAGGCTCCCTGGGCCGGCCTGCTGTGTCAACAATCAATGCCATGAGGCCCAGGGGAAGACAGGCAGCAGCTGCCATGAGGATGGGCATAAATTATGGATGTGCCAGCCTACTTTGGGAGCAGAGAGCCCCTCCCTCGACAGAAATGATGGCTGGTGCTCCACAGGCCTCGCAGACACAGTGCTGAACAAATCCACGCTGTGCTCACTGAAACACAGAGCCCAAGTGACACAGCCAGCATGGCTGCAGTCTTCCTCAGGTCACCTGGGCCCTAGGGAAGCTCATAGTGCTGTGGAGATGCATGGCAAGGAAGAGGAGAAACCCATCAGGGCAGCTGCCCGTGGAATGGTTGCCCACACATCCAGGACCTGGCTCAAGGAGGAAGTGGTCAGCTTGGCAGTGGTCAGTTGTGCTCAGCATCTGGGACTCAGCTGGAAGTCACCAGGCTGCAGCCCCAGGGATGCTCTGGTCCCATGCCTGCATCCCCCTCAGCACAGGTGGTGCTGCCCAGAGCCGACTCCTCTGAAGGAGCAGGGAGGAAAAAGCAGAGCAAGGCACAGAAACCACAAAAGATCAAACGCCCCCAGCATATCTCCATCAAAAATTCAGAAACATTACAAAACTACCTTGTCTGGCTAAGAAAAAGCAGGTGCCAGGCAGAGGTGAGAATGTTGGAAAATTCAGCAATCAGAGCAAAGAAACCTGTTTTTTCTAGTTTCCAGGTTGAAAAACAACAGTGCAGGGGAAAAGAATCAGCTCCTTTGTCTTAAAAGATGTTTTCTATTACATACTAGAAACTACATATAGACACTTTATAAATACACGTACTTTATATTTCAATATATCTACCTGCAACTTTATATACATATATATATATATATGTATATAATATATAAATATTGTGCTTTTATTTTAAATACACTTACCCTGCTCTGTCAGATTTCTCAATCTCTTTCAAACATCCACGGCAGGAGCTAGCAGGTGGACTGTGTGCATCCCAAAGGCTCCAAGTGCTCCTTAGAATCCCTTCAAATCGAACCCATTGTGTCTCAGGTCACCAGTGGCAAGGCCTGAGCTCTGAGGCTGCAGCTAGCAGACCCTGACGTGCCTCGGATTGGGAAGAGACACAACCAGCAAGGGAAACAGCAGGGAGAAGCTCCAAAACCATTTATTGAAGCAAAAGCAATAGGAATTCACATGAATCCAAAGCTGGGCAAGCAGGAGGAAGGATGAGCTTTGTCAGGTTTCTTAAACGGTCACTCTGTTTCTGATCTTTAAGCAACCTTTTTATCCCATTCCACAGGGTGCTGCTTTGGGATGGTAAGAGGTTGTTTTTTCCTTCCACTGGAGCAGCATAAAAATAAATCTGTCAACTCATATTAAATACACACGTATGGCCTGTGGTTTTTTTTTTTTCCTGTGGGAAAATATCACTCTCTCAGTACTTACAATTAAGTAGCATTATACTTATTTTCTTTATCTTATTGAAATTTCTGGTTTTTAACTGAAAACTTTGAGACTTGAAGTCTGAGGGTACCTGAGAGGCCAGCACCCAGAGAAAACCAGCTTGGCAGCCAATCTCAGCATGTCTTGGTACAGTACAGCAAAGCCCAGGGTGTTTGCTACAGGAACTCTAACCTGGACCCCAAACACTGGGAACACCCGGGACACAGGGAAAGCTGGGGTGGAGAAGCACCAGAGCAACACAAGAACACCACACAGGGAACATTTTCCTTATAAAACAGGCAATATCTGTACAACATGGCCACAGCCACAGGTGCCTGGCTGGGATGGCAGGAAATTTAGTACCAGAGGTGAAAACATTTTCTGCATCTTTCTTTAGGAGAGGCTTTCATGAGACTGGTATCCATGCCGGATCATGCACATAAATACAAAGCTTTGGTGAAGCTTTGGTTGCACTCATGGGCTGGGCTGCAACCACAGCTCAGCGGGCTCCAGCGCCCTGGGAAATCTGTCCTCCAGCCCTGCTGCTGACCCTCCCACGCCAGGGACACCAGCACAAAGGGAGCAGGATGGTGGGAAGTCGAGAAAAAAACCCCAGGTGTGCCAGAGCAACCAACATCAATAGTACTGGCAGGATGTGCGCAGCAGTGGGGAAGGTTTGTTATCTGCAGATTGAAGGTAGCTCCTTCTCCAGGGTAAAGTCCTGCTTTGTCCATTCCTGTCTCTCCTAGAGATAGAAGTCCCCCATGGAGGCGTGAAGGGGATCTGGCAGCACTTCTGCCCGGGACTGAGGCTGGCAGGGCAGTGCCAGGCTTCCCCCCAGCACTGGATGGTCTTGGGGCAGTCCCATGGGAGAGCTGGGCAAACCACAGCCGCTGCAGGGCTAGGAGAGAGAGAGAACAGTGGTGAGGTGCTTTGCAGGGCAGATCCCCAGCACAGAAAACACTGAGCCCCAGACTGGAGCAAGGCCCTTACCCTGTGCCTGCCCTCCTGGTGCTGCGCAGAGCCACCTGTCCCATAGGAATTTAGTGTCTCCAGAGGGCTGCTGATGCTCCCAAAGTGCCCTGCAGCTGAGCTGGGGGAAGAGCGTTGGGGCATGGAAAGAACGGGGCTCAATTGCTTTTCAGGAACGAGCTGGTAGAAAGGGGGAAAAAACCTGGGGTATGGAGCCATCTCTTCCCAGGAGTCCCCAGTGCCAGCAGCATCCACACTGCACAATCCATTCAGGTTAAAATGCTGTGGGGGCACGCCAGGCCTGGGGCCCAAGCAGCCCTGGGTCTGGGAGATCACATCACTGCTGAGGCCACGAACGCCAGGCTGAGCTGGAGACCGCAGCAGCGGGCAAACATAGTCCTGCCATGGGCTGGGCTGGGGAGAAGAGCTGGGGCTGTGGCCACATACCCTGTTCACCAGCAAGTGATGGTGCTTGGGCTGGCTCGGTGGTGCCACATGGTCCTGGCACTGGCTGGGCAGGGAGAAGGGCTGGTGGATATCCTCTTGGAGGGGCTGCACGGCTGAGAAGTCTCCCTGCAGTTGCTGGGCCCTGGGTTGCTCCTGTGGGCAGGGATCTCCTGGGGCTGAGCTGGGGGCCCTGTGCCATGGGGTGCCCTGCACTGGCTGGAAGGAGTGGAGCACAGTGTCCTCCCCAGCTGGTCTCCACTGGGAGCCACTGGACAGCTCTTCCTGCTCAGCCAGCCCTGAGAGCAGCCCTGGCACAGCACTGCGGGGCTGCTCCCACAGCAGGATAGGGGGCTGGGCCAGGGCAGCGCTGGGCTGCTCTGCATGCTGTGCCAGGTGGCACCTCGAGTCCTTGCTCTGTGTGTGGCATGGAGCAGTGCCGCCCTGTGGGCTGGGGGCCGTGTCTGGCAGGGGACAGACCTGCTGCCCTCCCTCATGCCCGTCCGCTGGATGGCTGGGGACACAGAGAATCTGGTTGCTGGCCAGGCTGTTGTTCAGGGATGGGGACTGGTCTGGGTCCGTACTGACCATCACCATTTTCTCACCCAGCAGCAGGAGCTCCACGTCCTCAGCATTCAAGCCCAGGCCCTCCAAAGCACTGAAGAGCTCGTTGGAACAGCTCTGGTCACTCTTAATTGAGAGCAAGTCCATGGTGTCCAAGAGAGGGTCGTCCTGCTGCAAATCCAGCAGCTTCTCTTGGAGGCTGCTGCCCCTGGAAGAAGCTGGAGCTGTGTCCATGCTCCAGACATCCCCTCCTGCACCTGGCAAGGACACACCCTCGAGCTGGAAAGTGCTGCTGAAGGAAGGGTTCGGAATGGGAGCTGAGTGGGACGTGTACACCGCCTTGTTCTGCTGCATCACAGCACCCAGCAGAGACCTGGGGTCAATGCCATTCTTCTGGGAGCGCCCTATGTGGCTGCAGGAGGAGGGCCTCTTGGACTTGCTGAGTTTCTCTTTGCTCTGGAAAAGGTCAGGGAAGCCTGGGAGAGGGTGAGTACTTTGGTATAGAAGTGCCTCTCCTGTAGCAAAGGTGAAGGGAAGATGCATGGACCGCTTCCGAAGGTGCTCTCCTCCTTCTTCATCTCTGCAGGGCAGGAAGAGGACACCGTGGCTGAGTCGTGCACAAACCCACCCCAGAAGTGCAATGGGCAATTGTGATCCCTGCAAACCAAAGCCCCTTTGCTACAGCCAGCATGCATACAGCACACACACATAAAAAAACCCCAAACATCTGCAGCATACCCCTGTTGAGGGGTGGCTTTGCAGACGGGGCTGTGGCTGAACAGCACCAAGCACAGAATCCCACAGCTGCTACTTCAAAAGGCAAAAGCAACAACGACAAATCCAACGTGCTGCCCTGCTCAGGGCAGAGCCATGAGAAAAAGCCAGGCTGTGCCCATGGCAGCCCCAGCACGTACACGAGGGGTCTCTGTGTGACCACGATGTACTCGGGCTTGCTGTTCTTGTAGACCAGCCGGGCGTTGGCCTGCACCCACTTCCAGCGGTTGTCCTTGGTCAGCAGCCGGAACACCGTCAGGCCGCTCTCCCCCGTCTTCATCACTGCCGGGAGGAAGCACCAGGGCTGTCACCATGGCACACTGCCCTTTCCAACTGGAAACAGCAGCAGCGTGGCTGGCAGGCACAGGGGACACCATGCAGCTGAACACCCCTCGCTGCATTCCCACCGAGCTCCCTGCAGTGACAGGAGCAGCAGAGCGAAGCATCCTGTGGGGAAAGAGCCACTGGGCTTGACAGAGCAGCCAACAGAGCTGCCCCATCCCAGCCCACTCATCAGCACAATCACCAGGGAGGGGACTCTTACTCCTGACGTGGTTCTCAGCACAGTACAACATGTCAGCAGCATGGACAAACTGGTACCCGGTGCCACACATCCGCAGCTCCGCCTCGGTGTAGCCCAGGACAACCTTCCCCCTGTGAGACACAGAGAGCACACCGAGCTCAGAGGCAAGGCTGGGGTGGGATGTCAGGAATGGAGCACTGAAAGCTCTGCTGCTTACTTGGCATCACACGCCAAGGGGGTGAAGTCCAGCTTGTGCTTGGTCCTGAAGATCATGTTCTTGGTTCGGATCTGCAGGATGGATGGGGGCTGCAGGGGCGTGGAGATGGCAAACAGAGCGAGCTGGGGGGGCAGGACAGAGCCATCTTCAGACCTTTTGCTCTGCCCATGAAGGAATTTCAGCCTGCCTTGAAGGTTCAAAGCCTGGGAAGAGAAGAAAAGCTCAGTGTCATGCAAAAAAGTGAGAAGGAAGAGAGCTGCATGGAAAGGAAAACATCTGTCTACAGAGCTGGTGTGAATAGAATTATCAAATCACAGCGCGGTTTGGGTTTGGAATGACCTTAAGGATCATCTCATTCCAATCCCCCTGCTATGTCGGGGGGACACCTTCCACTACCCTAGGTTTCTCCAAGCCCCAACCAACCTGGCCTTGGACATTTCCAAGGATGGGGCAGCCACAGCTTCCCTGGGCACCCTGTGCTCTCCAGTGCAGAGAAGAGGGGGGATGACCACCAACTACTTGATCTTAAGACATGCTTTTAAACCAAAAAACCAAGCAAAACACAGGGGAGAAAAGCACTCGGTTATTCAAGATTCAGCATTTCTGAGAGGAGAGGAACAAAATTCACAGGAAGAGGCTGTAGATACAGGCCAAACCTATGAAAAACAGGGAAAGTCTCTTGCTGAGACAGGCAAGTGCTGCACATGGCAGAAAGGAGCATGGGATCTTTCCAGGGGGTGGTTTCAGTGGTGGTAATGAGCCTTCTGTGGCGAGCCTGCCCCGCTCCTGCTGTGGAGGATCTGGACTCACCAGGAAGCCAGAGGAATTATCCAGGAGGCAGCGAAAGCGGCACACAAAGCTCCTCTCCAGGAAGGAGGAGTCTTCTGGGGGCAGCTGATCTGGCTTGTAGATGACAGCAGAAGAGCTAAGACTCTTCCCTGCTGGGAAGAGAGGGAACTGAGAGAATCAAGTAAGGATTCACCCCAGCGAGGGTTGCAGGTCCCCAGCACTGGGCACTGCAGCAGTTTGCAGAGCACAGCAAAGGAACTGGGGGGGAAAGCCACAACATTTGAAAGAAGACGTGGCCTGAGCCATATGGGTGCAAGTGCTGAGAGCAAGCTGGGCTCCCAGCATCCCTGGGGAGCCACACACCTGGTGCCACCCAGGATGGCAGCCTGCCTTTACCTGCTGGAAAAGGCTCACCCTCGGCAGTGTGCGGTGGGTCCAGGGCCCAGTGGAGGTTGCGCCTGAACTCCGGCTGGTCCTCAGTGTGGATCAGCTCGAAGACACTCTGGTGCATGACATCTGTCTAGAGGGGACACGCCACCTGTAAGCTCTGCAGCCTGTTCCCAGTGCCAGTTTTCATGTCCCACCTGGGAACAGCCCGTCATGGCCCCAGTTAGTTTTATCTTACCCAGTTTCCCTGGTGCTCAAATGGGTCCCTGGCTAAATGAGGTTGAAAACTTGCCCCCAGAACTGATGTTGGTGGGAACAGACAGCACATCTGGCTTTAAGGGCTCCTTGCCCATGTTGGGCCTGACTTCCTCCCCTGAGAAGCCTAAAGAGCCAATACAGCTTCCCTCTGACAACCCCATAACTCAAAATCCTACTGCTGACTTAAGAAATTAGATGAAAACATGGATTTGGGAACAAAACAGCAGCAAGACCACCCCATCCCTACACTATTCCCAAGAGAACAACGCCTTGGGACTTGCTTCCTGTGCCCAGGTGGACAGGTGCCATCTACTCCAGGTGTTGGGGACAGCCAGCTGTGCGTGGGTGACACCAAACCACAGTAGCTGAAGGACTGCAGGTAAGTCCCACTTCCCTGTAAATATGACCTAGTGTTCTCCAGGTTACCTTGGTGCCCAAAGTGCTGGAGCCTTGCAGGATTTACCAGGATTTGAGTGGGTGTCCCAGGCAAACTGGGCACGGAACCCCAGACATCTCACCATGGCCGTGAACCCTATGAAGGCCCATCAACATGGCTGCTGGGAAGTATTTATGGGCTGGTGAAGTCCCTTATCACCTACCAGTGACCATGTCTGGCAATATGGGGTCCGAATTCCAGAGACCAAGGAAAAGCCCCATACAACTCCCTGAGACCCTGTGATCCCTGCAGAGCCTTCTCCCCGCAGGGAACTTGGGGCTATTCACCACCACCAAGGAAAAATTTGCTCTCCACAGCAAGTCAGAGTCCCACCAACCTGATGAAATCCCAGGTAGTCCTGGATTGTATGCGAGGAGTAAAATATCAGCCCTTCCGATGTCACCACCAGCACGAAGCCATTGAGTGCCTGTAGGAGAGAGCAGATCAGCAGCTACAGGCCACAACTTTTACAGCAGGACACTGGGCACCCAAAGGCTGGCTAGCAGGCAGCTGAGCCACCACAGATGGCCCATCTGAGCTCACACAGCTCCTCCACATAGCTGCCTGGGAATATCCTTATCCAGATTGATGGAAAATTGTGCTTCCATCCTGGGAGCATTCACTCAGACTCAGCTTTGGACATTTATCCTCATCCTGTGCGGGGAGCAGATAAAAGCCTCTGAACTTCTTGCACTATGAAGGCAGACACCATCAGAAACAGGTCCATTCTGGTGGAAATGATCCTTTCCAACAGCCTTGAGGGCCTTGGCAGCCGTGTGTGGCCATCCCAGGTTCCAAAGGAGTGGCCTGGAGAAGGACCATGGAATGCATGGACTGTTCGTGGGCAAGGAAGGTTCTGCCTCTGCTGCCCGTTCCCTTCTCAAGGTGGCCAGTGCTGAAAAGGCCTTAACCAGTGGAAATGGACAAAAGCTAAAGCATAAGGGTTTGAAATTGCAGCAAAAACAATCTGATTTCTGAAAAGCCAGTTTCTTCCAAAGCAGCAGGGAATTCAGGCTGAGTCTGGTGCCTGAACTTGGGGGAAAAAAATGACAAAATCCCTGGGTGACCCCAGAGCACCTTTTCTTTTCTGCCATACATTGCAGAATTATTTAAGCTGGAAAATCCCTCTAAGATCACCACCTCCAAGATCACTTCCTCTGGAACACTATTATATTTTTTTTTCTTGGGCCAGGTCTCATAAGCCTTCAAAAGAAATATAACACACCCAAGGATAGCTCAGCTATTATTTTGGGGGCATAAAATAAGCAGGATGACTTCTGCTGCAGTGTTAGAAACAAAAAGGTTTAATAAAAGGTAAAATAACAAACAGAAAAACTCGAGCCAGGTGCAGAGGTCTGTTCCTGGTAGAAACACCTCACAAAAGCCCCTCTTCTCTTTTGTTCTCTTCTTTTTCTACCTGATGGGTCAGGCAGGACTTTTTGGCTTCTATCCAATTAGATGTCCTCAAGTTTTTGGTGAAGTCCCTGAGATCCTATGAGGTGGCTTTTCACCTAATCGTTGAGAGAAACTTCTGGGCTTCTTTCCTTTTTTGGGAGACAAAGGCTAGTTTTGCCACTCTGTCATCAGGGGGCACATTCCTACAGGACACCACCTGGTTCATGCAGACCCCTTAGGTTGAACGCTGTGCTCTGTTTTCACAAAACAAATACCCAAAGCTGCTGTGCCTGTGTGGATTTGAAGCCCCAAGCCCTCCCCACAGAGAAGGGCAAATGCAGCCATCAATCTGAAGTTTCCATTGCATTTTTAATGTTACACACTTGGACAGTGTTACACACTTCACAGTTTACTGGCCCTTCCATCCACTCCTCAAGCTTCAGGACTGCAAAGCTGATATTCAAGGGAGCACTGGGCTTCCTGGCAGGAATAGGCTGAGCTGATCAGAGCCTCTGTCTTACTCAAGAGGGGTTCATTGCTACTGGTTTCATAAATTTGGGAAGTAATTTGGGTGTTTTCCCTGAGCCAAAAACCTCACAGCTGGCAGGACAGGACACATGGGAAGGGACCAGGGTGCTTGTTGACAGTGTCCTTTACACCTGCAGAAGACTAGAAGGGGCAGAGAAGCTTCCCTACCAGTTCAGGAGTGCAGCTCCTTTGCAGGAGCTCTGGCTTTCCATCCCTGCTCTCTGGCAGCAGGTAGAACACTGCTGACACAGGCACTGACAGAATCCAGGGAAGCGCCCTCAAGTGCCACAGGCACAGCACCAACACTTGCAAGCCTCTGTGGCACAGAGCCCAGGGCATTGGGACCCTGTCATCCCCCTGCCAGGGCTGAGAGTAGCCCCACAGCAGTACCCCCTGAGCCCAGCTGGCAGACATCACTCTGTAGCTCAGTGTCCCCAGCTCTGAAAATCCCAAGTCCCCCAGCAGACACCTTGGTGCCCATGGTGCTGCCCAAGAGCAAAGGCAGTGAAACCCCATGACAATCACTGGTTTATCTTCCCAGAAACTGAAGAGCTTTCACTGCCTTGACACCACCATGTAGCCACTCCTCCCTAAAGGGAACAGATCCTCCAAGGGACACTCTGGCAGCACGAAGCAGGACCTCTCTGGAAGGCAGGGCTCCTGCAGTTTGGGCCCCGTGGCTTTTCAGAGCCAAAGCCATCCCGTACCACTAACCTGGCAGGGCAGCCACAGTAGCCAGCCCTGGCCTGCTTCCCGCACTTCATAATGTACAGACATCAGCGGTAATTAGGGCCTGGCATGTAGTCCCAGCCAAGTCCAGTTATTGTTGCTGCCAACTCCTGTTTCATTGTCCAGGTCAGAGTTTCTCCCCCCTCTCCTTCCCTTTATTCCAAGCACAAATGCTCTCTCTATTTACTGGGGTTGATCTCAGTGTGTGGGAATCTGCTGCAGAGGTTAATTAGTGCTGCCAATTGCACTTTAACCCTTTGAGCAGCTTCAGAGGAAGAGAGGGGAAGAATCAGAGCAGACCAAGAAACAAAAGAAGTTTGGCCATCAGAGGTGACAGACTAGGTCGAAGTATGTTTGTAAATACGGCGGAATGTTTCCTTGGGGCGGGCAGGGAGGTACAGAGACACATTCTAAGCTCCTGCCACATCCAGGGTCACACAGATAGACCCTGAGAGAGCTGAACCAGCTTTTCAGACCCAGTCTGGTACCTCTAAAAGGATGGTACCCAACTGTGGGAGGAGCTGATGAGCAGGACATGAACCCCCAGCAAGCCCTGCTACCCGTTTTGTTATATCCTGAGGGAAAACCCTCAGGTTTCTGGTTATTAACCAGGCTGGCTTTAGCACTTCTCCCACCAGACACAGATCCTCAGAGATCCTCAAGCTCTCAGGCAGGACAGTAACTACACTTTGTGCTGAGTGAGTGCTTGAACGGGAGCTGGAGCTGCCCAGCATGCTCAGCCAGTGCTGGAGAACAGCCAGGCAGGCAGGGGACAGTGCCACCGCCTGTGCCCAGGTGCTAGGCAGGGGACAGTGAACGGGAGCTGGAGCTGCCCAGCATGCTCAGCCAGTGCTGGAGAACAGCCAGGCAGGCAGGGGACAGTGCCACCGCCTGTGCCCAGGTGCTAGGCAGGGGACAGTGCCACCGCCTGTGCCCAGGTGCTAGGCAGGGGACAGTGCCACCGCCTGTGCCCAGGTGCTAGGCAGGGGATGGCAGACCTGTGTCCTTGCAGGACCTCGTGCTGCCAGTGCATGACCTCTTCCCATTCTCTGCGCACAGTTTGGGGACAGAAGGTGACCTTCTGGCACCTCTGAACAAACCATGGCAGCTGCAGCACCACCAGCCTTGCCTCCAGCCTCATCAAAGACCACTAGGGAAAACCAGAGCTCCTGGGACATACCCGCCTACCCTGTGTTTAAGGGATGAGCACATGGCCCATCAGCACCTATCTGTGCACTCAGCATCACACATCACCTCCTCAAAATCAGGGGAGACTCCCACGATGTTTTGTTCCCTGTTTACAGCAGTGTTTGGACAAAAGCCTCGAGTCAGGATCAGTCTGCCCACATTGAAAACTGCACTCAATCACTTTGCTCAGTTTGGTTCTCACGTTACACCTTTGGAACACTTAGACATGAGGGCAGAGAAGCAGGAAAGATCAATCACCATGTTCAGAAATCCAGCAAGATGTTCCTTACATAGGGACTATTTAAAAATGGAAACTTTTTCCAGGAATAATGGGAAACGCAGGGAAGGAGCAACAGTTTCTTCCCTAGGGACCTTTGGAAGTCATAAACTTCTGCCCAGTGAGAAGCTCAGTGAGCTACACCACACGAAATCACAAATCACCTGCCTTGAGTGAAAGAGCAGCCTGGTTTTGGAGCACAACTCAAAGGTGTTGGAAGAGGGACAAGAGGAAGATCCAGTGAAGGCATTTGTGAGGAGCACTAACCTGTAGGAGCAGCTCACCCTCTGGAACAGTTGCTGAGCCCAAAGCTGGTCCAGTGCCACAGGCTCCGTCCTTCTGGGCTTCTTTGGCACCAGGATTCTTCAGAGCAACTACACCAAGAAAAGGGAAGGGACATCAGTGCTGCAGGAAGACACTGCCACAGCTGGAATGCTGCAAGCTGAAGAGGGCAGGGGAAAGCCACCATACAGTCACATCCCTTTGCTTCACCCCTCACAAGAGTTGATTTTAACAGGATGTTTCCCCACCCCTCAACTGTTTCAGTCTGGGCTTTTTTTCCCCCCACTCCTTCTGCCCCGCTTTAACAACCTATAAGTAAAAAGCAGTTAAAGCCAGGGATTCTTAAAGCAGGTAGGCATTAGAATCATATAATTATGGAATCACTGAAGTTGGGGAAAGGTCATAGAGCCCAACCATGCCCCAGCACTGCCAAGACCACCACTGAACCATGTCCCTAAGTGTGACATAAATGGGTCTTCTGAACACCTCCCAGGACAGTGCATCCATCACTGCCCTGGGTAGCCTGGTTTAATGCCTGACTTCTTTTGTGAGGAAATTTTCCCCAACACCCAAACTAAACCTGCCCTGGCACAGCTTGAGTCCATTTCCTCTTGTCCTGTTCCTTGGTCCTGGGAAGCAGAGCCCAGCCCTCACCCGTCAGGGAGTTGTGGAGAACAAGATGGTCCCTTCTGAGCCTCCTTTTCTCCAGGCTGACTCCCTTTCCCAGCTCCCTGAGCTGTTCCTCATCAGATTTGTGCTCCAGAACTTCCCCAGCTCTGCTCCCTTCACTGGACATGCTCCAGCCCTTCAATGTCTTTCATATTGTGAGGGGCCAAAATTGAACACAGGATTCAAGATGCGGCCCCAGGAATGCCCAGCACAGGGGACAGTCACTGCTCTGGCCTTGTGGCCATACCATGGCCTTCCTGACCACCTGGGCACACGCTGGCAACACCAGCAGAAGTCTGCCCTACACAGGAGGCATTGCAGGGAATCCCAGGACCAGGAATGTGCCATTTTGAAGGACACGGTCAATGTTTCGTTACAGTTCAGCAACGCAGTGGGTTTACTCAAGCAAATTAAGGCAAGCCACAGCTCACAGTGATAGAAAAACACAGAAAGCACACGGATCCAGACACAGACACCCGAGATCTAATAGTGGTCCATGCACAATCCACATGCATGAGGGACTCTGTCACTCAGCTGAACTGAAGGATGTGTCTGTAAATTTTGTCCTGTACTCCCCAAGAGAATGATTCCTGGGGACATTTTGGTGTGGATAAAAATTAAAGGGTGAGGTGACAATAAGCCTGTGCATGACAGGCCCGTCCAGAGGCCAGAGGAGCTCGCAGGAAATCTGAGAAGCCTCTTGCCAGCACCACAAGGACAGAGGACAGCATTTGGCCACTGGTAAACCTGCTGCTCCCACTGGGATCTGAGAGGAAAGGTGTGAAACATTAGCTGCAGCACCACTGTGGCCTGCCAGCTCACAGAGGGAGCAAGAGCTCTCTTGGATCTGCCTTTGCCAGCTCCTGGACAGCAGGAGGGCTGCCAAGCTCAGAGGTGATGGGAGCAACAAGTGGACTCTGGAAGCAACTGGACAGCAAGTCAGGAGGTAACATCCACCAGCACATAAACAAAGCCAGGCTCTGTGACAGGCTCTGCTCTCTCTGTGCTTTGCTAAAGAGCTGCTGAAACTCAGCTCCTCCACCTCCATCTACACGGGGCTAATCCTGAAGGATCTCAGATGCTGCAAAAGGCAGATGTTCCAGAGTCAGGCTTTGGGGACAAAGTTCTTCCACTGGGCACAGGACCATCCCAAAGATGGGCTCTGCTCCATAACCAAAGGCAAAGCACAGCCCAGTTCTAATATTTACAGAAAAGCACCTGATACAGCAGCAATCCCGCTGCTTCTGGGAGCTCTGAAGAATTCCCCAAGCTCAGCCTGCCCAGACTATTTCAGGAGCTGGCCAGGGATGGGCTGACACCAGGACTGAGGTTACAGCACGTGTTTGTACAACCGTGGGTCAGGCCCGAGCCGGCTGGGGTGGACACACACAGGCTGCTGTGTCCTCACCCCTTCCCACCCCGGCCCCCTGTCCAGACTGGAGTCCGCATAAAATCTCAGGGAGGGACAGGCCTTGGGGCAGAACAGCACGAGAGAGGCCACAACACCCAGGCAGGATCCCGCGGCGTGGATGGAGCAGGTTTGTGCCACGGCCTTTCAGCAACTTGCTTTTCTGATCGCTGGGAGCAAAATGTGGGAGCCATGAATTATTAAAGGACTCCACTCCTCCTCCGTGAGCTCCCAGCCTGCTGCGCTGGAGGTGAGAGAGAGATAAAAATAAACCTGGCTGACAAGAGAGCAGCTAAAGGTGCTGCCCTCTGCTCAGGGCTCTGGTTTAATGGTTTGATATTGTCCCTGCAAAAGGAAATCTTGATCCCAACCTCTGCCTAAAAACAGGCTTTAGTATCAGCATCTGGCTGTGGGCCAGAGGAAACACAACAACAGCAGAGGACAGCCCGCTGTCCTCCATGAGGATGTCTACCACCAAACAGGATCCAACCACCAGGGTGTGAGGGATCAATCAGAATTCCAATGGAGGCTCCCCCATGAGCTTCACCAAACAGTGCCTTTCCCACCCGAGCCACCCAAGGATCCCCGAAGAGGACGGGCTCTTGGCTGTGGCCACACCAGGCTGGCATCCAGCCTGGTGTCCCCCGGCTTTGTGTGTCCATAAATAGCCCAGTGCAGCCCCTGGGGTCAGCAATTCAGCAGAACTGTCACAGCACATCAGGCTGACGGAGCAGAAGGAGCCGGGGAACCGCCACATCCTCTCTGCTGCGTGCATCCCGCCTGGAGCTGGGCACCGGGAAAGGCGGGATACACCCCGGGCACAGCGCACTCCTTCACCCAGGTGCAGCCTTTGCCCTCGCTGCACAACTGGGGACAGGCACTTGCAGGAAAAAAAAGAGGAGAATAAAAAGGTGAGGAGTGGCTTTTCCTGGGCTCGCTCCCTCTGGCCACCAGTGTCACCTTTGTTGCTGGAGGGGAGAAAGGTGACAAGCTGGTCACCTGAAAGCAGCGATGCTTGCACAACTTTCATGCTATTTCTTCCAAGAAACAGCTCCTGCCAGGCCCTGCAGGCTATTTGGCCACAAAAAGCCTTTTAGCTGAGAGGAGGAAAATCTCTCCCATCTCTGGGGAACAAGCTCCCTGCCCACACCTGCCTCTCCACAGGAGGATGATGCTCCCTGCCCGTGGTCATCCTCAGCAGCTCCTCGTGCTGGCACCAGGAGGGGCCAGGGGTGGGTTTCCTCCCTCCATTTCTGGGTGCTTCCCAGCCTGAGAATCTGTTTCATGTGGTGCTGCAGGGACACCTTGCTGCCCACCAAGTTTGCCAGTGAACTCCTGAACCCGCCAGGGCTTTGCAGACCTGGGAAATCTCTGCAGCACCAAGCAGGAATTAACATTTTTGAGAGGATATCTCCCAGGCCCCTTCCCTGCACACAGCAAAAGCTCCTGGTGGCAGCAGGGTTTCCATCAGCCATTGACTCCAAAGGAGAAAAATTAAACAACTGAATCCCAAACCTGCTCCAGGTGTTGATGAAGGAGAAGGAAACCAAGCTGCTTCCTGACTCTTCAAGAGCTGCAGGAGAGGGCTGGGCCACCTGTATGGCCACTGTCAGTCTGAGCAGGTTGTGGAGAGGGAACAGAGAAAGATTTTGGTAATGGCGCTCCCTACAAGCCTCCTGCCAGACTCCCCAGCATGCACAAGCCACTCTGGGGGAAGGATTGATGGATTTCTTACCAAAACTGCCTTTTATCCATCTCTCTCTTTCCACCACTTGTGCCAATCCCCTGAAGAAGTGGTCTTACCTCAGAGAGACTGGTAAATTCTCTACTCCCACAAATGGATCTCCAGATCTCCCTTTCCCATCCACTTCTCCAGCTTCTCCTTGCTCATGGGCAGAGGGGCCTGCAGGTCAGTACACCCTCCTCACATCAAATAGCCCCTCAACATTGCTTTTTCCTACATTTTGTTGTTAGTAAGAGAGAAAATGTTGGAAATTTAGAAAACATCATATAAATGGTGAGGGAAGTGGCCACAGGTTTGCTGACACCAGGCTACAGAGTCATCTTTTCCCTGCCTTGCTGAACCATCAGTTGGGTTCTCATGAGCACTGTTCAAAGCCCATATGCCAGCCACTGGCAAATACTTCCTGACTTGCCATTTGTTAATTCATAATGGACACCAAGGTTTCACTTACTTTACTTGCCACAGCTCCCTGTTGGCAAAAATTTCATTAAACAGATGCATTATTTATCCCTGCCAGAATGGTGTGGATGCTCTGCTTTCCAAGAACACTTGTGGTTAATAATGGATAGCCTCTTAAAAGATCTCACTGCACTTTTAGAAGTAAGAAGGCCTTGACTACATGTAGCTTTTGGTTGTGTCACTTGGGTCTCAAAGGGAGAAGCACGTGCAGTAGTTTGAACAAGGACAAAGATTACAAGGACCTGCCAGATTTTCCTTCTTCTGCAGCATCACCAACTGTTTGAACCCTCCCTCTCCCAGTGCTCCTCCCTCAGGAGCTTTAGTGTCCATCATAGAACGGTTTGGGTTGGAAAGGACTTCAAACACCACCCCTGGTTCCACTCCCCCACTGTGGACAGGGACACCTTCCACTAGAGCAGGAAGGATCATCCCAGCCCAAAGCCTCAGCCTGGAGTTTCTTCCCAGTCCTGCTCTCCTGCCTGCCTTTGCAGTAGCCCTGAGACAGCCCAGCTGCTCATAGGCAGCAGAGCAGGCAGCCCCCAGGAGCCCACTGTGAGCCCCAGGGAGCTCCAACAGCTCCCACCAGCTGCTTTCCTGAGAGTCAGGGAAAAACACTTGGCAAGGAAAGCACACAGCAGGAAAACTGTCTACCTAAGGAAGTTACAAGAATTCCCCATCTTAAATTGCTTCTCCAAGGTCACCTCATTACCCAGGCAATTAAGAGAGCACAGCGATCACAGGACCAGGCTTTGTTTTTCTTAAACCAGCCCTTCACTGCTGCAGCTCTCTGCTGTGCTTGACAAACAGCTCAGGAGGAGGGAAAGCACACGAGTGAAGGGACGACCAGCGTTAGTCCCACACACCCCATCTCAAGCCCTCATCCCTAAGGAGAGGTTTCAGGGGCACAGTCATATAGCCTATAATAATAATTAAAAGCACTTTTCCAGTGACTGCAGCTCAGGCACTTTTTGGGCCACCACAGCTCCAGCAATAACAATCTGGGTTCATATCATAGTTCAAAGGGTGAGGCTCAGCCTGGAGGCTGCGTATTGATCCTACAGCAGCCACCAACGATTTTAAGAGGACTTTGGGAAAATCCCTAAGCCCTCGACATCCACAAGAGCATTGTCTTTTAAAGATACATGGGAGAGAAAAACTGCTTAGGTTTTGGACACATGACCTTATGCTTCTGCATGGAAGAGACTCATGCAGAGCTCAAACCCACACAGAGCCCAGAACAACTCTCTGACCCACAATCACAGACTGTGCAGCCAACAAGCCAAAACTTTCTAAAGCCACAACACATGCCAGGGTGTTTCCCCCTCTCCTCCCAGCCAGTGATGGACCTGAGCTGCCCAGAGAGCCAGGCAGGATGCTGCACACAGGCAGAGGATTCCCACTCCAAGGCAGGGTTAGCCCATGCTATGAGGTTCAAACATGCAGCTCCTGGCACCACGGGCTGACTTCTTCCTACAGCCCATAAACCCTAGACTTGATTCAGAGCATCAAGAGAAATCCCACAGATGAATCACTTCACATCAGGCACAGATGTGTGACAGGCATAGGGCACCCTGGGGACACCCAGGGGCAAGTGAGTGCCCAGCAGGGGCTATACTCACACACCAGAAGGGCCAGTCTTGCTACAGAATGGGAAGCACAGCTCGGATGACCTTCCCAGCACTCTGCAGGAACAAACTGTGAGAGACGCTTCTCTAAAGTGAGCCCTGGACCACTGTGACATCTGCCAGTTGGCCTCCCACCAGGAGTTTAAGTGGCCCAAGATACAGATGGCACCTGACAGACACATGACAAGGTGCCTTTGAGGCATCTTCTTTTTTTGTAAGAAATCCTCTCACAGAGCAAGACACCAACCTTCCCCTGGAGCATCCTTCCTTCTCTCCTCCTTTCCAGTGGGTGAAGGAGGTGGAAGAGACAGGGACCCCTCCTCCCCTCCCAGCAGGGTTTGCTGGGCCCTTGCTCCAAGAGGCAGAACAGGGAGGGATTACAGGGGAGCGGCCTGGCCAGGCACCACCGGGATAAGCTGCTGGCACACAGCTGGTGTGACATGCTGTGCACCCCCTGGAGTGGGCAGCAGCACACGGGCTAGGGGACAGGGAGGTGCCCTGCAGCACAGTCCCACCTCTACCAAACCCCGCGAGCTGAAATAGCCTCCAGCAGAGCAGGGAGGAAGGTCAAGGTAGTGAAAGAGAATTCAAAATACTTGTTCACCAAGGCAGACAAGAAACAAGGCGTTTGGGAGCACTGCTGTAGGGGAAGAAACCTGGATGGGAAAGGAGGACGTACAAGCCTTTAAATCAGCTGGCACTGATGTTTGGATAGGACCCTCAGCTTGGAAGCAACCTCTGCTTCTTTCGGCCCTTCTGGTCCAGGTGTTGGGTTCTGGTCAGTGCTGCTTCTCCAGCAGGATGGATGTCAGATGGGCTGGATATCCTGCTCCCTGGTGTCCTGGCAGGACACCTCTTCCAATGTCTCCATCCCTCCTGTGATCCTGCTCCCCTCCCAAGCTCACCTCTTCCATAGCAAGGAAGCACTTGTGCGAGCCTGGGATTGCAAAGTCAGGCAATGGGGGAAGGGAAAGGCACCTGGGAATCTCACAGAGGACAGCGGTGCTGCCCCATCGCGAAGGGAGCCTGTTCCACCTGCCATGGATGAGGAGGAGACCTTGGCTGAGACCCCTCCTCCGCCAGAGCCACCAAACACAGCTGTCACTCAGCTGCTTCCTACTTTGTTAAACTGGAGAGATTTAAGTGGAAAAGATTGAGTGGAATCAGCCTGCAAACACACACAGGATACCCTTGTGCGTTGCTCTTGCAATGCTGCTTGCAGAAAGGCAGCACCAGGCTGGCAGCAGAGCCGCCAACACCGCACATCAGCCCGAGGAACGGTTTGCTTGGATAAATAACCCTGCTCAGCAAAGGCAGCGTTTGATGATCGCTAAACCGCTCCAGAGATTAAACAACACTGAGCAGCCTTAAATCCTCCCAATTCCTGTCACTGAACTGCAGCCCTTGAGTGGTGCCCCCACGAAGGCAGCAGGGACAGCTTCCCTTTGGGCTACATAAAGAATAAAAACGCTCACGTCCTCAGGAAAAACACATCCTTATAAAAACCAAAGGCCTTTAAGCCCATACAAGCTTCCCCGCATATCAGCTATGCATAAATCGAGATCGCAAAGTAACGTTATGTGTTGTTAATTATTAAACCGATTAATAATTAATAAATCAATAATTATTTATTTATTCCGGCTGGCATAAACCTCCCGGGTGAATTGCTGTCAGCGATCATGGGCAACACCTGAGACCTGCTCCAGCTGTTTCGCCTCACAATCCACGGCAGCACTTCCCAGATTTTGTCCTTGCTTTCCCAAAATCATCTCACAGGGAGCACGCAAGGAGGGTGGATAGATTAAATAAAGTCACTTAAAATCAATTGTTTTGTGGATAAGTTTGCCCAGAGTTCCATTTAAAGATTCTTTTTACATCGGTATTAAGCATCACGAAGGACTCAGCTCGGTCTGCAATCCCTACTTGCATCTGAAAGGCTGCAGCTGTCCTTCTTCCTGCCATACCTGCCTCAAAGCCATCCCACAGCTTCGGACAAACTGGAAATCGGTGTCATGGAATTAAACCAGATGGAATGACAGCGGGGGGGAAAAAAGGACCCAAAACAAATGAGACAATCTCAGAACAGTAAATTCCCTGATGAGGCAAGGCAAACAAATCTCCCAGGCCATTCCTTTCCCAGCTCACCCACTTGCCAGTCCTTTAAGCAGGGTTAAAAGAGAGTGGAAAAGGGAAGGAAGCACTGAATATATTCAATGAGAAATTGTGGTGACTCTGTGGCTTGAAAACGCAGCATTTTCGAGCCACTGCTACCCCATCAGGAAAATCCAGGGATACCTCAATGCCCTCCTGAGGGTTCCTCTTAATTACAGTTACACAGCAGTGGAACGGTTCCCGAAAATAAAAGATTCCCAAAAAGAAAAGGCTTCCAGATCAACTGTAAGCACATCATGGGGGATTACTGCTCACTGCCAGCACCGCGAGCCGAGAGAGGGGAAAAATGTCACTTCCACGAGGAAACTCCCCAGCCGGGACGCTCAAAGCTCTGCCTCAACCCTCCCGCATAAAGCAGAATTTTTTGTCCCAGGAGAACCCACAAACAATTAACCTCACCCTCCGGATCCCTCTGATCCCAGTGCCGAACGCAGCCCCAGCCGGGCAGCTGGAGACGGCAGAGCAATGAAATGTGGGCTAGAAAAGGGGAAAAAGCAACTCCAGGGGAAAGCAACCAAAATTCTGAGGGGTAAAAAGATGAAATTCTAGGACAGGTAAGGAACAAAATATTCGGGGGGAGGGAAAACAAAATTACAACAGGACACGGCAAAATTCCAGAGGCGTAAAGACATGAACAACACAAAATTCGAGGGAGTGAAAAGCACCAGAATTTGAAGGGGAAAAAATAAACTAGGGTGGGAGAGACCCCAAAAGCCAAGGGGGGCGGGGAGGGGAAAAACCAAACCTAAAATTCGAGGGGAAAAAACCCCGAACCCAGCAGCAAGATTGCAGGGGGAGAGGGAAATCCCACAAAATTCGAGGCGAAATGAGGGAATCAATTTCAAGGGGAAACAAAAAAACCCCAAGCAAAAAAAATTTGACGCCGCCAGACAGACAGACATTCGAGGGCGGAAAACCCACACAATTCAAGTGGGGGAAACCCGTCAGAATTCAAGGAGGGAAAAAAAAAATCCCACAAAATTGGAGGCGGGATCGACACGAAACTCCTGAAAGGGCGCAGGAAACCCCAAAAATTCTAGGGGTGAAAAGAAACCACGATTCTGGGAGGGAAAGGAAACAAGTTTTTGGTGAGGGAAACCCCACGAAACTTTAGGGTAAAAAACCCCACACCGGTAGAAACTCTAAGTGAAAAATACTCTGTGGAGGAAAACAAGAAGAATTTTGGAGAGACGGGGGGAAAGGAACTGCAACAACATCCCGGCAGGGGTAACACAGCGGTGAGGGAGGAGGGGGACAGCACAGAGTTCCAGGCAGGAAAGACGAGCTGGGAACGCGCCCACCGTCCCTTACCGCCGAAGAAGCTCCTGGCGCGCAGGAAGCCGGCGCTGAGGCGGAGCACCGAGAGCTTGTCCAGCCCGGCCACCACGTCGGGCGGGAAGGGCAGCAGCCCCGCCAGCCGCTCCAGCTCCCGGTTCAGCCGCTCCCGGTGCCGCTTGGACGGGTTGGAGCCGCCGCCTTCGGCCGGGCCCGGCCGCGTCCTGCCGGGCACAGCCGCGTTACCGGGGAAGGAGGACACCCCTCAGCCCTTCCCCGGCCCCTTCTGCCCTCACTCACGCCCGCGGCACCGGCTTCCTCCGCCTGCGCCCCGCGTACATGGCCGGGCTGGCAGCGCCCGACCGCCGCTCCCTCAGGGAGAGAGGCAGCGAGAGAGGGAGCGGGAATGGCCCGCCCCCGGCGAGGGGGGAGATGGGGGACGGACGGGAATCTGGGGCTGCGGGGGTTTGGTGTGTGATGGAGCTGAGAAGGGATTTGGGGGTTGAAGGGGGAGTGGGAGCTGGTGGAGAGAAAGGGTGACGGGTGGGAGGGATAGCGGGGGTTAACGAGGAGCTGGAGGGGCCGGGGGTGAGCAGGGAGCGAAGGGTGGGTGCGGATGTGAGGGCGGTGATGGGGAGGTGCGGACTGGGCCGGGGGTGCCAATGGCTCGGACCACCCGCCTGCTGCTTTGCCAGGGATGCACAGAGTGGCCTGTCAGGTGCAGAAGGGCGCGCACTCCCAGGTAAGGGAGGAGGCTGATAAGAGGCAAAGCCTGCCATGTGGAGTAAGTCTTTATGGCTCGGCTGTGAAAACTCCGTTCCCAAGTCCGGGAACATTCACACACAAGCTGAAGGTACCCATCTCCACTGATGGGCCATAATTCAACTACGCTCACCTGGAGACAGCTGCAACATCTTAGAAGGTGTGAAGAGTCCCCAAGTGTCCCGCGATCCACGGTATTATCCAGTGTGAAGCTCCGCCCCAGGGAGAGGTACAGGGGATGTTCCCACAGCAGAATACAAACCCCATGGATGTGGTGTTTGTTGGACTGTTTCCCTTCACCATTCGATGAATGTAGTCTGCAGTCACTTTCTCTCCACCCTCCTATGGTTTCCCTCTCTCCCCCCACTCCCATTTGCTGTTAAATAAAAAACCATGTTATTGACATTGGCATATGGTGTTGTTTATGTTATGAATAAAAATATACCTATTTTTATTTAAGGTTACAGAAAAAAAAAAAAAACGGTGGGACCAGTTGCTGTTAAATTAGCTGAATTGTTAAAGAGTTCTTTAATTGCCCGTCAATGGTTGGTGATTTAGCCATTGTCCTCCCTGGTGCTTGCCCCGGAGCTACGCCTGGACACGCAGCCCAGGAGAATAGGAGTGGCCTGAGACCACGTATGCAAATGAGAAATGCACCGCTCCAAAATTTTCCCGTTTTCTTGGAAAACCCCTAAAAACAACGAACCAATATAGAATTGGGGGACCCTAGGTGATGTCTAAGGACGGGCGTGAAGTCCAGTGCCTGCTTGGATCCTTTTTGCTTCACACCCTGACCTTAAAGGATGTTCACTAAGGAGGGCACCCGAAGTGTTGGACCGAAAAGCAGGAATCTGCGAATCTCCCGTGAGGACGCAGTCCCCAGCTCTGCCTGCAGACCAGCGGACAGAGCTGCATCACCCTCGTCCTCTGTACCACTCTTGGGGACAGTGGCGGCGTGGGTGCGACCCGTCGATTTCTCCCCACCTGAGCTGAATCTCTTTAATAAAGGCATTGAAAAGGAGAAAGATCTCCTGCCCAATTTATGTCAGTTTACACCTTATTTTGGGCAGAGGCATCTCTGTAATAATTTTTAATAGTCGGATATTAACAAACGTGTGTCAATGCCGAGTGTAACCCTGCCTGTGAGTCCCACAACCCCACAGGGCAGTTTGGGGGTGCAAAGCGGGGACACTCATGCCTCTGCTGCCCTGCATGCCCACAGTAGCTGGGGACAGTGACAACGAGAGTGTCACACATCCAGCACCAGGGCTAGGCTTTTCCCAGCCCTTGCTCAGTCAAGGAGGAAATGGAGAGACATGGTTTCGGGTCAAAACAAACATCAGCACAAAGCAAATTGCCTTTTAATACATCGCCAAACACAGGGGTGAGGCTCCAGACAGCTCTTTTCTCCTCAGCACCTTCTGGCTGCCACCAGCAGCACAAAGAAATCACAGAGCAGAAAATGAGACACTGCACCAGAACAGACTATCTGTACAGCCATGAAGTACAGAGAGATCAGACACCAGTGACAGAGCACAGGGGGGTCTGTCAAGGCCCCAAGCAGCAGTGCCCCCACCCCAAGGTCCATCTCTTGCAGCACTGGGAGCCCCTGGTACACCCCCAGCACCGTCTCACAGGTGCCAGAACAGAGGCCAGTGAGCAGAGTCCATCCTGCTGCTTTTTGGATCTGGATCATGGCCAGTCAACTCCTTGCCCAGCCAAGGTGCTCCTGGAAGCCACCTTAGAGTGGTCCAGCACATTTCAGCACTGCTCTGCTCCCAGCCTGCAGAGAGGAGCTTGATCTTTCCCAGGTCTCGTGAGCAGAGGCAAAGCTGGGCATGAAGGAAGAGACCCAGGGAGATGAGGCCACTTTACACCAGGACATGTGGGCTTGCTGCCAGCCCTGCACTAATTACCTGATTTAATTTGATCCTAAATGCTTAACACTGGTGTGAGATACAATGCTCAGGGTGATGGGTGCGTGAGGGCAAGGTGTGAATGTCCCCAAGCACTCTGACCTCTCCGACCCAGTGTTGTAAGTCAGTGTGGTCTCAAATCATCCCCCCCCCCCCCCCCAATTTTTTTTTTTTTTTTTTGGTGGGTTTCCCTGATGGATCTGCAAGACTTTGCTCTCACGGTGGGGAAAAAACAATTCATTCACATCTTAGGTTACATACACAGAAAGGAAGAGAAATCAGCAAAATGGTTGTTCTGGGCTGCAGGAAAATGGTTTGAGGGGCACCAAGTGGGTCTGGAGAGGCAGCCAGTGGTCACTGCATCCCTCCCTGCCTTTCCTTCTCACTGCTTTGGCAAAACCACAGGGGGAACACCCACTCTTCCCTGTCCCTTGGCACTGTGGAGCAGAGAAGAGGACAACAAGGACAAGCCAGTGACAAACCCAAGAGGAGCTTGGGTGCACCTTCCCCACCCTGCATCCCAGAAAGGTCACAATGGCCTGGAACCCACCTCTCCCAAATTCCCCTGGTAGGCTGCTGGAGAGCCCAAATCCCCAAGACACCTTCACTCCCACCAACTCCACCGCCCACCAAGACCCTTCAATGCTGCTGAGCTTCTTGAAGTGCTTGGTAACATCTTTTCCAAAGGATTTGGATGGTCTCTGGAGGAGATGGAGAGCACAGGAGGAAAAGAGGCTCAGGCTGGCAGAGATGATGCAGGGGACTAAACAGCAACATGACAAGGGTGGTCCAACAGAGGAGATGAGGAGAGCATGCTGTATGGTTGGAAAACAGCAGTTCCGTGCTACCTGCCTGTGAGGCAGCAGCTCCATCTGCAAGAGGCTGCCCCAAGCACATGGATGTGCCAGCAAGCACTGTCCTTCCTTGGACCCCAGGAGCCCGCAGGCCTCTCCAGTGGCACAGCTGCATCTCCCCAAAAGACTTCTCATGGAACAAAAAGTCCAAACCACTTCATCTTAGACTGCCTGACAGCACTGGAAGACAAAATCCTGAGAGACCAGGGAGCATGGGGCCCCACTGGCAGGTATGAGAAGAGCTCACAGCTGCTGGTGGCTTTCCAAGACAGGGCTCCTGGTTCACAGTGAGCTCCAAACCAGGCTGCCCATAAAGGATGGTGTGGCTGCACCCCTGGCAGACCCCTTTCTCCCTCCACAGGAGCCAGGCTCCCCTCAGGTCCTGCAGCCCTCGCACCTCACCTTGAGTTGGATCTCACAGTCACAGAGGGGCTGCCAGCTGAACAGGGAACTGATGGGCAGCCAGGGCCCTGCCCGGAGCACGGGGGGGCTCCTGCACCCACCTTCACAGGGAGAGCTGCTGAGCACCTTGAAACCAAGCCCAGTGCGGAGCAGGGTGCTCCAGGGTGGTTCTCAGCGGGGCAAGGCAAAGCGCCCAGCTGCTGGGGAAGGGGTATTTTAGCAGCATCCCTCAAGGAAGTTGCTCTCATGCCTAAAAAGGCTGTTTCCGTACTGGCACTCGGACAGCACAACTCAGTCCATCTGCTGGGTGCTGGGATCTGTGCTGGAGCCCACTGTGGTGCACTGGCCCTGCCCCATGGCACGTCTGAGGAGCTGCCCCAGCCTGTGGGAGCCACGGCTGTGAGAACCACTTGTCCTCTCAGAGCACTGCCTGCTCCCTCTCCCAGGAAAAGCTGGGATCTGCATGGGCTACCAGGGGCTGTTTGGGGAAGCTGCCATGCCCTGGCAGCTGCCTGGCTCCTGAGGGTGCAGGGGGAGCAGCCTCCACATCACAGAGCTTCCCATTCCCAGAGAACTGGGACTCATGCAAGCCCTGGGCAGGGCAAGGAAAAGATTGGGAGGGGGCAGCAACCACAGCACAGCCTCCAGGGGATTCTCAGGACTGCCACCTGGCAGAGTCTGGGACTCCACGTAGGCTCCTGCAGCTTCCAGCTGTTTTGGAGCTATGGTCAACGAAGCCTCAGATGGGCAACTGTCTGGGTTTGCCTGGAGGGGGACACTGTGCCACAGAGTCACCAACGTGTTTGAGTGCAACGGTGGTGAGCAGCTTGAGCCCACCAGCTGGCACCCAGGCTGGCTCTGAGCAGTAGGAAGAGCGTTATCTACAGGAGCAGGGGGTGTAGCTTCTGTCTGAAATGCCTGGTTTGCCAGCTGAAGTGCTGCAGAGGATTTGCTGCTGGAGATGGGGACACCCAGCACAGTCCCTGTCACTAGTCCAGCTGGGTTAAACGGGACCTGCAGCTCTGGCTGGGCAAAGCTGCCCTCAGAGGGAATGGAGCCCATGGAGCCCACAACCTCCTGGCCTCCCCATGTGCCTGCTGCCTGGGGCTGTGCTGGGAATGCTGAACCAGCTGCCCAGCAGTGCTGGAAGTGAGGCACAGCACTGTTTTCCTCATGGCAGTGTCGGAAGTCCAATCTCTTTCCAGCACCCTCCCTGAGGAGCGTCTGCTCTACAGAGGATGTCACCTTGGTGCCTGGCCTCTGGCCGAACCCCTGAGCTGGTGGATCCTCCTCTGCCCCCAGGCTGAGCAGAGCTTCCTCCCAGTGCTGCAGCTCTGTGCTGCCCACGTTTAGGCTCTGGCAGACATTTCCATCCACCTCACTCTTCTCAGAGAGGGTTTCGATGACCACCAGGAGAGAGTCGCTGTCCTTGGCACTGCTGATGTCCTCATTCCGGGTCAGCCCATCAGGCTCAGCGTTGAAACCTGGCAGGGAGAACTGAGGCAGGTTGTCAGCAAGGGAATTGTATATGGATGCATCCTGCTTCATTATGGCCCCAAGGAGAGAGTTGGGGTCTACCAAGCACTGCTCTGAACTGGAGTTTGCTTGTACCTGCAACCCCTCCTTGGTTTGGAATGAGTCCAAGAACACAGGAAGGTCATTCCCATACAAGACTGCTTCCCCCGCGGCAAAGCTGAAAGGCAGCTGCAGGTTTCTCTTCTGGAGATATTCCTCCCCTTCTTCATTCCTTCAGTGTGGAGGCAAAAAGGGATGGAAACAGCATGAACAACTCCTTCAGGCCAGGCAAAACCACCCTTCTGACAGCAATGGGGGAGCTCACAGCTGGCTTTTCTAGAGGAAAAGGGGGCTGGATTGGGCTGGCTACAAGAGGGCTCTGAGGAGCCCACAGGGAGGTCTGCATGGCTCAGGGAAGGGCTGCTGCTCCCAGGCAGGAGCGTGTCCGCAACCACCTCCTCAGAGCCGTTTCACTCACACTACAGGAGGACAAATGCTACAAAGTGCCAACCTCACCTACCCTTTCCTCCACCTTCATGGCCTCTGCGTGCCTTGGGCAGCCCTCCACGCCCAGAGCAGCTGAAGGGGGCCAGCAATACTCACGACAGGGCTCGCTGGTGGGCGATGATGCAGTCGGGCCTGTCCCCTTTGTACACCAGCCGTGCGTTGGCCTGCAGCCACACCCAGCTGCCCCTCTTGGTCAGCAGCCGGAGCACCGTCAGCCCGCTCTCCCCGGTCTTCATCACTGGGGCAGGGACACAAAAGAAGGGCCACAGACAGAGTTCCTCCACGGAGGCAGAAAAATGACACTTGCAAGATGCCACGAGGTTGAGTATCACCTTGTGGCCATGCTACAGGGGCAGGAGATGCAGTGTGCTGTGTCTCTGCCAGCTACCCGAGCTCATCCAGGAGGAAGAGCCTTTATCACAGATGCTCCAGCACAAAGGAGCAATACTACAGCCAGGCCAGAGCCTTGAGGGACCCCACAAACATCCCCCCAACAGCTCCCCAGCACTCACTTCTCATGTGGTGCTCTGAGCAGTGCATCATGTCGGCTGCATGCACAAACTGGTATCCAGATCCCCTCCTGCACAGCCCCACCTCCGTGTGTTCAAGGACAACCTTCCCCCTGGAAACAGCACAGGAATGCAGTGACACCAGGGATGCATCCCCCACAGTTGCACCCCACTTTGGGTCAGACCCCCACTTTGGTGGTGCAACACACCACCCCGGGCTGAGCTGCATCCCCTGTTCCACAAACCACCCAAACCACAGCAGATCAGAAGTGCTCGTGCCCCGTTAACCTGCTCTCCATGTTACTGGGGGCCTGCAGTGGAGGGACAGAAACATCAGGCCACGGGAGCTGGGTCAGGTGTTCCTTGTCCCCAGCAGGTCTAGCTTTCTAGTCCAGCACCAGGGATTTTGCCACAGGGAAAGTGAGAGATGCCTTACCGGGAATCACAGGCCGTGGGAGTGAAGTCCAGCTTGTGCTTTGTCTAGAAGATCAGCGTTTTGGTCCGGAGCTCCAGGAGGGAGAGAGGCTGGAGGAGCGTGGCAATGGCAAAGAGAGCAACTGGGGACTTGTCTGCTGCTGACTTTTGCTGCCCAAGAAGGAACTTCAGGTGCCCACAGAAATTCAAGGCCTTATAGGGACTAGAAAATGTGGGTGTGAAGCAAACAGGGTGGTGGGAACTGGCTGTGCTGTCATCCCTATGGGACGCAAGTGACTCTGGGGAAACACCCTGCAGGCACAGGAGGAGCAGAGGGGTGTCCCAGCATTACCAGGAATCCTGAGGAGTTATCCAGCAGGCAGCGGAAGCGGCAGGTGGAGCTCCTCTCCACGAAGGATTCCTTCTCAGTATGGCGGTGCTGGGGGCTGGACACGGCGCTGCACCTGGCAAGCAGTGGCTGCTCAGGGGGGAAAGCTGGAAGAGCAAACGCAAAAGGAAGTTTTCCAAGCTGTGCAGAACACCTTGATCAGAGCTGCTCAAGTGAAGCCCTGTAGAGATCACCCTGGCACTCACTGTCAGCAGCATGCACTGGGGTCCCCTGCAGCTGGCGGCGGAAGGCGGCCCTGTTGTCCGCACGGATCAGCTCATACACGCTCTGGTAGATGAGATCCGACTGGAATGACAAAACAGAATACTGTCTGCTTCTGGACAGCCTGGCAGAGGTGTCAGGAGGAGGACATGGCAGAAGGTTTCCCTTCCTGGGCACTAAAAGTGCCAGGACTGAGTGTAAAGACGGGCAAACTCCAGCTCCTTCCCCTGCCACAGGAGCTACTACTCTTTGGGAAGCTTTGCTCTCCACCTGCACCTCCTTCCCACGCAGGACTGCATCCATCTGTTTCCAGCCAGGAAAACACGGTGCTCACCTGGTGGAAGCCCAGGTAGTCCTGCACGGTATGGGAGATGTAGAAGATGTAGCCGTCTCCAGTCACGGCGATGACAAATCCATTGAGGGCCTGAAAGCAAAAGTTCATTCCAAACTTGCTCTGCCCAGCTTCAATTGAGCTGCTGAAGGATGAAATCCCCCAGCTGTTTCTTCAGCATCCAGGGACAGGAAGGGACCTTCTTCCCCAACAAGGAGCCCCACAAAGGACAGCACTTGGTAACCACGCAAGATTCAGTTCCATGGAGTTTCTTGTTCTCAGCACAAGCAATGATCCAAGCTGGATTGACCACTTTCTCCAAACCCCCCATGGAACCCCATCTCCTCCATCAGGAGGGACCAGCTAAGGAGAGGTTTCATGGAGGATCTGGAGTCCTCCTTTCCAGCTGGGAATAGCTACACTCTCCTAGGGCTGTGCTTTGGACACAATGATCCTCGTGGGTCCCTTTCAGCTCTGGATATTCTATGATTCTGGTAGCTATTTCAGGCTGATTTTCCCCAAAAGCAAAGCACTACTACTAGATAGTAACTCATGCAGCCTGTTCTTGACTGTGATATGTTTAATTTATTAGTGAATGGAAGGAGAGAAATTAGGGAAAGAACACCCTAAATGGAAACCTAGCATACAGACCCAGCTTGCTGAGGGACTAGTTCCTTCCCTTTGTGTGCTGCAGCCCCCTGACGGATCCCAAGTCAGAGATTGCTGCAAATCACAGTATATGCTTAAAATGATCTTTGTGGAGAGGAAAAAAAGCCACCAGACAGCTCAGCAGGGGGATTTCTGTCACAGTAACACCTCATAAGCTCTCCAGATGCCTTCAATCATCCCAGCCTGCCAATGCTCTGATGTGATGGCTCAACAAATTGCCATCATATGGTCGAAGTCCAAAGCCCTGGGGAGTGCTCAGGAGCAGCTCCATGCTGGGGCCGGGGCAGCCACGGGCTCCTTCCTGGTATCCAGCTGCTCCTCTGTGACCATCACACTCACACACAGCTGGGACCGTGGGGGACCTCATGTGGTCCAGGATTCACTGCCAAAAGTCACACTGAACTCCCAGGAGTCACTGCCTCTCCAAAATCCCACATGGAGGCTCCTCCTGGGGATCTGCTCACATTGCCTGCTGCCTGGAGGGCTCTGCAGGAGCAGATTTGAAGCAACCAAAGCCAGGCTTAAAGAGAGCCAAGCATCCATCTGCTGGTGTTTGGAGAGGTGGGAGAAGAGGACTGAAGGCCTAGAAAGCCTACAGAAGAGCTGGAGAGGGTGGGGAGGCCATGGCACAGGGTGCCCAGAGAAACTGTGGCTGCCCCTGGACCCCTGGAAGTGCCCAAGGCCAGGCTGGATGGGGCTTGGAGCAACCTGGGAATGTGTCCCTGCCCATGGCAGCTCATCATAAGCTGAGCTTTAAGGTCCCTTCCCACCCAAACCATTCTGGGATTCTGTGAAATCCCAGGCACAGGAGATGCCAAGAACATGGAATGATTGAAGGTCTTGCACAGACTTGTCCTGCAGCCCCAGTGAGCATGTTCCTCAGCTGACATGCCCACATGCTTGTTCAGCAGTCAGGCTTTCCGTGTGACCTTCCATGCCAGGCTCTTCCAGCTCACATTTATAAATGGCAGCCCAAACCAGCAGCACTGTGGGAGGTTAATTCACCAGACCCTCGTGCTCCGAGCTTCACTGTCAGCTGTTTCATGAGACACACGTGGCCTTTCCACAAAGCACAGTTCTCATTTCTCACTGGTTTTGTTCACCACTGTTTTCCAACACCCAGCTGCTCTCCTTTTCTCCCCCACAACCTACAAACTGAAGCTGGGCTTTTCCCATCTCAGGCAGGCTGAGAACTCATCCCTATGGAGCTCACACAATGCCCCAGGTAGGGCAAGGAGTTCCCGGGGGATCTTTTGTCCCATAGCTCTCAACATTCTCCTCTTGGCCTTTGCTAAAGATAATGAACCAACCCAGCACCTTGGAACTATCCAGGGATCAATCCTTACACCACCATATGACAGCCTTGAACCTCTTGGTCTTGGTGGACCTTGTGTCCATGAGATGTAACATACTAAAAGGGACAGCAATTTGCAGTGGGATGAGAGGGAATGGTGGGAATGGGGATCTGGACCCATCCCAGTCAGACAGTGCTGGTCTCTGTCCCCAGGAACTCAGTGCCTGCAGGAATCACAGTGACACAGCTCTGGGCAAGGTAGGGTCTCCTTCCACTCCACAGATGGGACCACAAGTTCCAGAGCAGCTCGGGGAGACCCAAATGACCAAGCCACAGCACCATACCTGGAGCAGCAGCTCCCCCTCAGGAAACAGCTCCCTGTCACCCTGGGGCTCCATCCATCTGTCCCCTCCTGGGGCTCTGGGCTGATCCACGCAGTTGCCAACATTTGGAGCTGTAGCTGCAAGTGAGAGGGCAAGAAATCAGTGTGGAAGAGGCAAGCCAGGAGCCTCCTGCTCCTCCTCCACACCCCAGAGCTGCTCATGCAGCTACTGGATGCCCATGAACCCAGCATGGAGGGAGGTGTGACCATCAGGGGGAACTGGCACTGAGCCCACTTACAGAGCCATGCCCAGCTTGCCCAAGGCTTCCTCCAAGAGATTCTTTCCCCTGCTTGATCTAATTTCTGGGAAACCTCACTCCTGCCACTCCTCCCAGCTTGCCCAAGGCTTCCTCCAAGAGATTCTTTCCCCTGCTTGATCTAATTTCTGGGAAACCTCACTCCTGCCAGGGTATGAGGCAGAGAGGCAAAGGACAGAGGGGGGCTGAGTGCTTCAGGCTGGAGAACACCACCCAACATAGCCAGGAGGCTTCTGGTTAGAGCCTGGCAGAGCTGGAGTTGGCTTCAAGCCACTCCACTGGGGTGCTCTGTCTGCTGTGCTGCCCTTCAGGGTTAGAGAACGATAGAAACAAACCTTCCCAAAGCACCTGAGATGCCATCAAAGCACCCAGACTTATTTTCTCCCTTCCACCTTTGGCTGCCTGGAAGCAGATCAAGAGCTGGTGGCCATGGCACTTCCAGTGACACCTGAGAGCTCCCGGCTCCCAGGAATTGCTGCCATGACCTCCCCAGGCTGATTCAGGAGCTGCCTCATGCTTCAGCACTGGAGGCCTTCAAGGCAATGCCCCTGGGTGCAGCCAGCATGAAACCTCCTGCTGCCCGGCTCGTGGGACCTCGAGCATCACAGGACTCCCACAGAACCAGTTGTTCAGGGAACAGGACTGAGGACAGAGGCTCCCAGGGGCATCTCCAGCATGATCCTTTTATCTGCTGATTATCACTGAAAAAACTCTATCCAAGCTCAGCTGCCAGCAAAAGGGTGATTTTCAAGGCATGTTTTTTTGTGCCAGCCTACACAAAAAAAAAAAGAAAATCACAGAAAAGCTCAAAGCAGCTCCTGTGTAGGAACCACCCCACCTCTGCCACCACCACCAGCTCGTGCAGCTCCCTGAGGCCTGACTGAGCTCACATACCCCGTGTAACTCACATCCCAGCAGAGAGCACTGCCTGCTGGACGGTGCTGGATCCAAAGGGAAAAGATCCTCTCAATGCTGGATATAAGGAAGAACCTCAAACCATCCCAAGTCTGACCATACATTTAATTTTCTCCATGGCAGAAGCTCTCACTTCACCACTGAAACGTTTTAAAGGTTTGTTTGGTTTCTTCCCTGATAACACCGAGTTCAAAGCCAAAACAATTTGAAATCTAAAGAAATTTCACATGCAACTGCTGATCTGGGACATTTTGTTCTGCAACAAACCTGATGGATTGGCATGTTTGAATTCAAAACTAATTTGGAATCAAAGCATCCCTGGGATGTATTTACACCTGGAGCCTGAGTGCCAACAAGCACTGACCGATGGAGGCTTTCATCAGCCAGGGCATGGATACAGCAGGGTTAGGGTAACCAGCTGCAGGTCTTGCACAAGGGGACACAAAGAGCAGTGGAGAGGGTGCTCTGGAGCAGAGTTAGCCTCCATCTCCATTGCTGGTAGAGCTGGGATACATCTTGCTCCCTCAAACCTTCAGCACTCCTTGGAGATGCTCAGGCAGCATCTCCACCTTATAAATCAGCCACAGCTTCTGCTCTTTTTCATCCTGTGCTGTCAGACCAGCCTGCTCAGGGGATGTGAGAGGTTGGGAAAGACGAGATTCAACAGAATCTTTGCTTGGAGACACCAAGCAAAAAGCCTCCTCATGTGATTGCTGTGTGATCCCCAAGGAAAAAAATCCCTTCTGGACCACATGGCTTCAATTTGCACTTCATGGACCCTAATAGTTTCAAAATGAAACATCAATTCTCATTTAAAATTTGATTTCTTTTGAAGGGCTGACTCTTCTCTAAAGCATTGAAATGAGGCAGGCTGGCAGGGGATTTCAAAAAGAAACAAGTTCTTCCAAAACAGAGCTCCAAAAGGGCACAGAACTTTTTGAGAGCATGCACATCTTGAGAGCATCTGGTCTCCAGCTATCTCCCAGCATCCACCAGCAGCATCTGCAGGGACAGCTGGGGAGAGCTGCTGTGGCTTTCAGAATCCAGCAGGAAATACCCATTTTGGGCTTTCCAGCAAAATTTCTTCACCTCTCCCACTGATCTTAGCAAGGGCCTTTTAATCTCCCACCAAAGGTGCTCACTTCCCCTTCTCTCAAACACAGAGCAGTCCATTTCTGCACAGCTGAGCTCAAAAATCGTCCAGAATCTGTCTTCCATGGGACACACCTGACCTGGGGAGAAGGTCTGGAGCATGGAGAGAGGGGAGGAAACTCAAAGAGATGTTGTCTGCTACCAAAGTACTGGTGGTGTGGAGCAGCTGGTGCGCACATCCAGCCCAGTCCTCACCATCCACAGTCAGGGGCCATGTTGTTCCTGTGCTTTCCTCCTCCAAAGCTCTCTGAACTCATCCTCTCTCAAACTGCCAAGAACCATCGGGATTGGGAGCGATCCCAACGGAAACCCAAGCACTTCCAGGTAGAGGACTCCAGGCCCATGCAACCACCAAGGGTACAGAGGCTATTCCCAGTCACTTTTTGACTTGGAAGAGAAAACCCAACATTTTAACCATATCCTAGCTCATTTACAACACAGGAAACCACATGGAAGGGAGGGATCATTCCTGAAACATGTCCTTGCTTGAGACAAGATGGGGAGATGCCACCCTCTGGAATCCCACCCGGAGCCATGGATCCCTCAGGCTGCTGAAGCCAGGTCTCCAAGGGGCCAATGGCTAAGATGGACTGGAAACAATGGCTGGCAGGAGGAAGAGACCCCCACTGGCTGCCAGGCAGGACAAAGCAGGGGATGAGCTGTATTGAAAGCTAGCTAATTCATCCCATTTAACACACTCCTTCAAATGGAGCAGTTCAGACTCCCACACAAAGCAGCTGAGACCACGAATTAATGGGATTAAAGGAAACAGGTCCAACATGTATCTAATCTATAATATACCCACAACAACAAAAGTAGCTGGGTAAAAGGACAATGCACTTTTGCTGTTTGTGCCCAGTTTTTCCAATCTCCTGCAGTGCATCTTGGACAATTAATGGGAATTAACATGTGGATGTGGTGCTTAGGGACATGGGTTAGTGGTGGGCTTTGCAGTGCTGGGTTAATGGTTGGACTTGATGATCACAGAGGTCTTTTCCAAGCTCAATGATTCCACAGTTCTATGAAAAACACCACGGCAAAAGCCATCTGCATTACCAGGTAAGTCCCAGGCATCTGCTGGAGCAGTGTGGTGATCACTTACATTTTCAAAGCGCTGGAACAGAGGCTGTGTGTCATTTTTAAGACAGTAGGGGAAAATCCAGCTTTGTTCTGAACCAGCCAGAGCACTGCAGGTTTCCTGCTGCTGGTGTGATCCCAAAGACTGCAAGGCTTTCACTCAGCCCAGGAAGACTCCAGACAGGACCAGCAGAGCTTCCAGCATCAATGAATCAGGATGTGCCCCATACATCCCCAAGAGAACCCTCCTATGGGTTGGCTTTCTTGTCTCTGCAAGGAGGTTCCTCAGCCATGCAATGGAGGAAAAACTTCCAGCAGGAGAAAGAAGGAAAAAGGAGCAAAGTCATCTAATCTCTTCACTTTTTTGCCCATCACATTCCCAAAGAAAAACATGGCAAGGCAGCCATGGAGGCTAAAACACACCCCTTGCCTCTGGCATAGATTTGGCGCTGAAAATAAAAGTTTGGTAAACAACCAATTTTTGGAAATTGGAAACAACCCCAGAGCCAGATCTGCTCTCTCAGACTGGGTTACACTGGGGGGAGTTGACAAGCTTCACCCATGGGAAACACTTCTCTTTGAACAGGCTCTAGAGGTGCCTGGCATCCAAAAACCAGGAGCTCCCAGCTCTTCAAGCAATACCAAGCCACACACAACCATTTTCCTCTTGGATCCGATCCCAAGCCCTGTCAAATTAGCACTAACCTTTGCTCAGCTGTTTAACAAAGGCACGGCGCCACACAGAGCAGGCTCATGCCATCCAAGTGAAACAGACAAATCCCAAACCCACAGATGGAAAAGTCACTCAGCGTTTTCCAAGGAGCACAGGAATACCCTGGGGAGTGCTAGCATCCCCAAGTCCACACCAGCCTCTCCAGCCTGCTGCTGCAAACCTTCATCCCACCCAGTCCTGCAGGATCTTGCCCAGGGACAGATTTGAGCTTGACTCCTTTCACTGCCTCAGTTATTTCAGGCCCAGACCCCTGCAGCTCTGGCCCAACAGCCAGCTCTGGTAACAACAAACCGAGATGAGATTAATAAAAAAGCTAATTTAGTGCTGATTGCAGTGAGATTACCCAGGGAGACCTGCTGCCAGCTGCCCTGCAGCAGAGCACTGGGGAGGGAACTGGTGAGACCAGCACCAGAGGTGGGAAAGACTGGTGAGACCTCCTAAACCCAGCCCCTGCTCCAGTCAGGTCAGCTGCATGGGGAGGCAGCCCACTGTTCACTGTTTGCTGTGAACTGTTAGATATCTCAAGCTTTGCCAGACTCCAGAGCGTGGTCTCACACCAGGACTGGGTTTTCCATGGGTTCTGAAAGAGATTGGGTTAGCTTGGATGTTGGGAAAGAATTCTTCCCTGTGAGGGTGGTGAGGTCCTGGCACAGATTACCAGAGCAGCTGTGGGTACTCCATCCCTGGAAGAGTTTCAGGCCAGGTTGGACAGGGCTTGGAGCACCCTGGCATAGTGGGATGTGTCCCTGCCCATGCCAGGGGGTGGAATGGGATGAACTTCCTTCCAACCCAAACCAGTCTGGCACTCTGTGATCCTCTCTTGCAGACCTGCTGGCCTGGAGTACTAGGAAGAAGGCATGGCAGCACATTTCCTAATCACACCCTCTCCACCTCAGAGAGTATTTTAAGCCCCATTTTCTTGCTCACCCTTGGCAGAGCCACATCTGCAATCAAAACATCTGCTTCCTTTCCTACAGGAACCGTAGGAAACTAACCCAAGCACAGCTCTCCAACCAGCTGGAGCTTTACCAAGCCACTACAATCCACCCAAGCTTTCATGAGATCTCCCTCTTTGCAGCAAGTGGGGCTCCAGTCACACCACAGAGAGGCCAGAACATCGTGGCAGTCGGCAACATAAACATCAGCTTTTCTCCTTGGGCGTTTGCTCTCAAAGACACGGGATCAGCAAAGTCACTACAGATTTGTCTGGAAGGATGTCAGACACAGGTCCAAGTAGCAACCACTGCAAATTGGTTTGCAGACAGAGCTCAGCACAAATCTGGCAGTGAGGTTCAGTCATTGTTTACACGAGTGACAAAACCTTTAGAGTGCCTTTGAGGCAGGCAGTGATAGCACCAGAGCTGTCACCGCTACCCAGCACTGCTCTCCAGCTGGGCCTGATGGGCAAAGCTTGGGGAGACCAAGCCCTGAGCCCCCTGATTTTGTGCAGGGAAGGCTGAGATCCCAGGCAGCAGAGAGCTGTGCAACACCTGCAGCGTTTGCCCCAGGGCACAGAGGAGTTACAGTGTGCACACCCTGAATCACACCGGTAGAGGCATGGAGGGAGCTCCCGAGCTTCCTTCTCTAGGCCCAAAGCTTAGTGTTTCCAGCAAATTACTAATTAGTCTGGTTTCTTGTTAAAGCACAGACAGAGAAGAATATTAAAAGCAAAGCAGATTCAAAGGATGATGCAGTGAGTCACTACCCTGCAATGGAAACCAGGACCCCATGCAGATGACAAGTCCCTTTCCTTGTGGAAGCAGGCACTGATACCAGCACCCAAACCCACCGTGGTTGTCCTCTGCTCTGTCCCAGCCTAAACACTGCCCCAGGCTCTGATGCCTGGCTTCCTACACCCCCTTAAACAGGTCTGTTCCCAAGCCAGAGGCACACAACTGTAGCTATGATATTTTATGAAAAATCCTCTGCTAGGATTTCCCCTCCTGAGGGGCTGAGTGCCTCAGGAGAGAAATGTAAACAATAACTATCTGCTGTGGAATGCAACAGGTGCATCTTCCATTGGTCCATGTGGATTGTTTTCAATTGATGACCAATCACAGCCACCTGAGTCAAGGCTGTGAGCAGTCACAGGATTTTTGTTATGCATTCTATTCTATTCTTGTTCTTTGTAGCCTTCTGATGATTCTTTTCTCTCTGTACTTTTAGTATAGTTTTTTATTTAGTATTTTAATATATATTGTAAGATAATAAATCAGCCTTCTGAGAAACTGGAGTCAAGCCTCGTGTCTCCACACATGGAGTGTTCTCCTCAACACCCACACCTCAGAAATACCAGAGAAGGTGGAGAAGGGTGGAAGCCCCTTCTCAGATTTCTCCTGGTGTTAGCAGCCAGACAAGATGCAAACAACACCGGGAAGCTGCACTCTAGGGCTGGAGAAATGCAGCACAAGGGAAAAAGGAGCCTCAGGGTATCACCCTGAGCCCACTGTGCAATTGGTCTCTCACTTGCCTGGAGATAAGGCAATTACCGCTCTATCAAAACATCCATCTCTCTCCTGCCTGGGGATAAGGCCAGGCTGCGGATGGGAAGAGGACAGGGATGCTCTTCAGATGATGCCATGCTCTCCTGCTGCAGAAAAGCCTGCACAAAGCACAGGACAGCAAACCTGAGGTAGAAAGCAGAGCACAAGGGGTGCCAGCATGTCACTCCAAATGCCCGACAGGACACGCCAGCAGCAGGCTGCTGTGCCCTGCAGCTGGCACGGGGCTTCACCAGGCACGCCTGAGACCCAGGCCAGCCCTGATGTATCTGGGATGATCTGAAGTCCAACAAGATGAACTTCAGGGCAGAGCAAAGGGAAGGAAGTGGGAAATCACAGGTAAGTGGCCAGATGGGAATAATTGGCTTGGCAGAACAGGGCTCCATGTGAAATACAAAGCTGTGTTTCGTGTCAGGTACATACAGGCAACATGCGTATCTGTGATTGTGATATGTGTAGAAACTGACCATGGGACAATTATAAAGACAATTCTAATAAATAACTGAGGAAGTAAAGCATGGAAGAAGGCCTTTGAACCTGTCCTTTGTTCGCAATTAACCTTTATAAGTCTTAAGTTGATTTAGGAGCATTTGAATTAAAGCTTTAAGGAGGTTGCTGTTTGACAGGAACTTTCTGCTTCTAGCTAAAAAGAGTTTGGCAATAATAACCTTTTGAAGTATAATTTTAGAATATTGCTTGTAGTAAGGATCTTTGAAACTATAGCTTTAGAATATATAAAAAGGAAGCATGCTTATCTCAACGCCTTAACAAAATATTGAAAAGTAGCTTGAGAAAGGAAGATGAACATCAACTGAAGGATTGACAGTTTCAACCAAGGGAAGCTGGACATGACTGTTATGAGATTTATAGTCCTCGCAAATAAAAGGTGAACCCGCATCTGGAATCTGGACCTCACCAGCTGGGAGACTTCTTTCTTCTTTTGGAAGCTGGACCCCACCATCTGGGGATACTCCTTTCTGGAATACATTCTGAGAAAAACTAACTCACAATAGTGCATAGAATTGTGGTGTAAAAATTGGGAATAGAAACTGCTGAGAAAGCTCATGACTACCCCATAAATACCTGTGAGCCCCAACTATCAGTGTGCAGTTGGAGGGAAAATCTCCCCCGCTGTACCCAGCGCTGAATTGCTCATACTTTACCATATTAATTAAAAAATTGATTGCTGCTTGAATATTGGCCTAGTCAAGTTTCTTATTTATAACATCCAGAACCCCTGCAATGCCAAACACTTTTCCTGAGCAGCTCACTCGCTGGGAAGCACACACTGAGCACATTCACCGGGAACCAGCTCCTGCTCAGAGGCACAGGTCCCATCTGGAGAGTTTGGCACAGGAGTCTCCTCCTGGAGCCCAGCATCCCAGCTGGAGAGGGCCCTGGGAGAGCCCAGAGGAGTGGGCATGAGGGAAAAACCAAGGGAGCCAAGTTTATCCAAGCTGCGGTGGGGAGAAGACAAAATAGAAGCCTCTAAATATGAAAAGCTGCTGCTGCCTTCCTGCCCCACACGCTCTGCCTTCCCCAGTGTCCATCACCCATTCCATCAGGCCCAAATCACTGGAGAGGGAACACGTCCCTATCCACACATGCTGGTGACTCCTGGGAATGTGGTGATTGCCCCCAGCCAGGCTCTGCACCGTATATAATGTTAAAATTTATTCAACATACTATAACTGTAATAATAATAAAGAGTTGAAGAAGAATAGAGAGGGAGGGAGGGAGGAAGAATATGGAATAAATATAAGAATACCAAATATGGAATAAATAAGGAAATACAGAATATGAAATATAATAAAAGGGAACATGTATTATATATTATGAACATTCAATTATTTAGTGAAGTTAATTTTAAACTGCCATTCCAGTTAGATGAGGGCATTGTTGCAGTTCAACAAGACACATTGTTTTACCCACCTCTCTCTTCTTCTCCACAGGGTGCTGGGAGTGCGACACAGGCGGAGTTTTGGACATAAGAATGGCTGCTAATGAGATGGAGGAACTTTGCAGGAGGTCTCAGCTGCTGGGCAGGCCCCCAAGTGTCTCCCACCATCCATGGCATTCTCCTGCCAGTATCAATATCCAAGGGCCTGCTCCCATAACTCGCCATCATGCTTCCTTCAGGAAACACAACTTCCCATCCCAAAGCTGGGGTGGAACACAAGCTGTGCAGTGGGGATTGATCCCGGGGGCTTTTCCTCCCTCCCAGCATGGACACTCACCCATCAGGTAGCTCTTCACCTTCAGGTAGCCCACGGCCAGCCGGAGGATGGAGAGTTTATCCAGCCTGGAGCGCACATCCTCGGGGAAGGGCAGCAGCCCCGTCAGCTTGTTCAGCTCCTGGTTCAGCCGGGCCCGGTGCCGCTTGGAGGGCTTGGACTTCACACCCTCGGGGGGACGCGGTTTGGGGCTGGAAGAAGCAGAGGAGAGGTTAATCAAACTGGGATTGTCCAACAGGCTCTTTTTAAACCCAGCACTGGCTTTGGTGCAGCCACAACAGTGAAATGGTTAAGACTTTTCCACACACACCTGCTCCTCTTAGAAATCACAGAGTGGTTTGGGTTGGAAGAGACCTCAAAGCCCATCTTGTTCCACCCCCTTCCACTATCCTAGGTTGCTCCAAGCCCTGTACAACCTGGCCTAGAACACTTCCAGGGATAGGGCAGCCATGGGGCAGAATGAGATGATTTTCCAACTCAAACCATTCTGGGATTCTATGACTTAAAGGGATATCGCAGAGGGTGATTTAGGGCACTGCACTGTGAAAAGAGCCTCTCTTAAAAAAAAAAAAAGTTTATGTAAAAAGTTTTGTTTGTTTTCTTCCAATATTCTGATTTTTGTCCCTTTCAGATGGGCATTTCCAAATTAAACCAGCATTTGATGCCAAACTTAGGCCCCGGGGGCAACCCTCAGCCCGCAGAAGGAACAGTGTCCAGGAGAGCAGCCTGAAGCCTACACGAGGTCCCATCTCTGTGAGCTGCAGTTATTTCACCCACCCCAGCCAAAACCCCAGCAGTAAGAACTCAGTTAATAACTTTAACAAGTCCTGCACATCACCCTGTGTCCTTCATTTTTTAATGCCAATCTGAGTTTCATAGCTCAAAGACAAACCCTTCAGTCCCCCCAGATCTGTATCTCACTCAGCTGCATCCCCCCAACACACATCTTGTTTGGTTTGATGTAATTTGTCTAACCACAAACTCCCTCTCTGCAGGCATTCTCGCTTCAGGAAGGAGCTTTGGATAACAGGATCTGCCAGTGTTTAGCAGCAATTTAAGCTCTCTCCTCTACCACCACTCTCCGATCTCATCTGGCAGGGCTGCTCATATACGTGACACGAGAGGAAATAAGCATTAAATGAAATGCACTGAAGTGCCTGTTGAATTTGCAGCTCAGAGAGAGACTGAGGGGTCTTTTAAGGCTGAATGGAAAATTGCAGCATTTTGCCAGGAAAGCTCGAGCCTGCTGGGTTGTAAGAGCAGCATCAGGAGGGATATCCCCTCTCGCAGGGAGCTGGCACAACCCAGCTCCAAACTAGTACCAGACAAGCTGGGTAAAACACACTGACACCAGGGCTTTTAGAAAGCCTAAACACCTTTGAAATCACAGTCACACACCAGGAAGGAGAAAAATTAAAACAGTTTTCCTTTGATTAAAAAAAAAAAAGGGTGAAGAAAATTTGTCTGAGTTTCCTCAGATATCCTTTAAAGTCTTCTGGCCACTCACCATCCAAATCCAGCTCCAAACAGCCAGAAAGAAGAGAAAATGAGACTGGAGATAAGCACAGCAGTGGGTAAAACACTGAGCTATAACAGAAGCACTGGGATAACGTGGCCAAACACTGAAAATCCTCTGGCTGAGGCACAGAGGGTGACACAACCAGCAGCAAGTCACCCTAAGGGGCAAGGAGGACACCCCAACACCTCTGTTCCTGCACAACCCAGCTGCAGCATGCAGGGTGCTCCATGGCCAGCCTTGAGAGGGGGGATGCCAGTGAGGAAATGCCTCATGGAAACAATGAAGCTTGCTCTAGACATTTTAAAACTGTTTAATTTCCCTTCCCTTTGGCCCAGTGGTTAAGAAGCACACTGTGCCATGGGGTTCATGGTGGAGCTGGTGGCCTCTGTGCCGAGGGAAAGCTCAGCTCCCAGCCCCAAAGGCTGTGCTGTGCTGGGGTTTGTTTTTCCCCAGCAGCAATTTGAACGGGAACCCAGTGGAAAGTGATCCCTCGCAAGCTGGCAAGTACCAAGGGAGATTATTCCCGACAGTGGAACTTGCCTGAGCTAATCTAGTGTCCCCTCATTCTTGTGAACAATTTTTTTTGAGGTAAGTAAGAAGAAGTCCCTCAGTCCATCCTCCCTGTTCCCTCTGGCTGGCTGCACATCCCACTGCCACCAGCCCTGCTCCGCCTGGCCGCTCCCAGCAGGATCCTGCTCCAAGATCTGACCCAGCACAGAGAAAAAGAATCTCTTCCCATTCCCAAGGCTGACCTTGCAGAACCAGGGAACGAGGGCCCTTCTGCTCCAAAGAGACACTTTCTCCTGTACCCTGAGCCACACAAATCCAGCCCAAACGCTCAGGCTGGTATGCCACAGGGCTGGAATCACCCCTCCGAGATGAAGAGAAGACAGGCTTGTGGCAAAACAACTATCCTTCATGTTTACACAACAAGACTCCCAATTAAACACCCAAGAGAGCATCAGGGTCATCTCACCACAGGTTTAAAGTATTGATGCTCCTTCCATCCTGGGCTTGGACTCAGCTCATCCATGTGCTCCCCCACAGCCTCCCAGGAACAGATACCCACCTTTAGTTCCTATACACCTGGAAAAGCTGGGGTTAAACAAGATGGTGGGACTTGGGAGCTGGGGAAGGCACCAGAGAGGCAGGAAACACCGGGGCCTCCAAGGGGGATGTTATGCAACAGCTACTGAGCAGCGTGGTAATTAATAATTAAGGAATCGAAGTGTTTTGTAATTACTAATTGCTGTATGCTTGATTTAGGCGGGCACCAAAACATAGCCCAGCCTGCAAATCACTGCTGAGCGGCTCAAACTCTGCGGCGATCTTCCTCACCGGGATGCAGGACAAGCATCTCTGGGATTTCTGTTCTCCCGCCAGCGTGCCAGAGCCGACACAGCGCTAGCTCCAATGAACCCTGATTAAAACCGGGTGACCCAAGCACGCTGCTCCCTTTGGCTCGCACCGCAGCGGCTCCAGCACTTCCCCAGAACCAGCTGGGCTCTCGCTGCCCGGCTTTCGCCCGTCCTGCCCGCTCCCCCGCACCTACCTCTTGGGCACGGGTTTCTTCCTCTTCCCGCCGGCGTACATCCCGCACCCCGGCAGCGCCCAGCGCAGCGGCGGCAGCGAGCCCGGGCCCCGGGGCACCGGCACCGGCCACGCCCTTGGGTGGCCGCCACGCCCGGGGACACCAAATCCTGGGAAGCACTGTGCCCATGGAGCCCTGTCCCTGGGTGACAGCCTAATCCTGGGAGCACTGAGCCCCAAGAGCTACTCTCACGAGGGGACGCTAAGTCCTAGGAAACACTGTGCCCGTGGGCCACCATCCACAGAGGAGACTGAATCCTAGGAAACACCACGCACCTGGGCCACAATCCTCAGGGGACACCAAATCCTGGAAAACACCGTGTCCACAAGCCACTCTTCCCAGGGGCCACTAAATCCCCAAGGGGCCACCAACTCCTGGGAAACACCATGACTGTAGATCACCATCCTATGTACAGGTGACACTGAATCCTGGGAAACTTGTCCGTGGGCCACCATCCTCCTGGAACACTGGACTGTGGGAATCACCGTGTCTGTGGGCCATTGTCCAAGGGGGACATGGAATCCTGGCAAACACCTTGTCCATGGCTCACCATTCCAGAGCCTGATGCCCCTTCAGGAAAAGCCAGCCTGCTCCTTCTCACTCTGCCTTTCCCTGAGTTAATGCTGCCCAAAGCTTTTGTTCTTCCCCCAAAAACCAGCTCCAGCTGCTGCGCTGAGGCCCTGGCACAGGCTGGCGGGGGAAGCTGTGGCTGCCCCATCCCTGGAAGGGCTCAAGGCCAGGTTGGAGCATCCAACTAGTCTGGCTGCAGCCAGAGCTGTTAAGGAAACCTCGATGCATCCTTTGTGGATTGTTTGGTTGGGTTTTTCAGGCTGTTTGCAAATTCCAGCGATAAATCCTTGAAATTCAACTTGACTGCTTCTTGCCAGGGGGCAAAGCAGAAGCTGCTAATGGTGTCACAAATGTGCCAGGTCAGCAGAGCTGATGTCACTCTGATGGGAAACGTGTAAAACGTTTGGTTATGACCTTCCCAGGCCCAGTAGTTTAACAGAGTTTTTAAATAAGGGTTAGGGTTACTGCACATGCTCCACCCTAAAAGCTTGGAGATGTTGGTCAAGCAGAGAGCAGAGGGAATTAGGACAATGTGCAGATATTGCAAGATGTGTCCCAGGCTCCCTCCTGTGGGGACCTGCGGGCCGACACAGTGCAGCCATCCTGTCTGTCCCTAATCCCGCCTGCTCCCTAGCCCGGCTGTTCATTGTCCTGCTCGCTCCTGGCCCCACCTGTTCCCCATCCCGTCCATCCCCTAACCCGGCTGTTCCCGCTTCCACCTACTGCCCATTTTATCTGTTCCCTATTCCCAGCTGCTGCCTAACCTGGCTGTTCCCTACTTCCACCTGTTCCCTATCCCGCCCGCTCCCAGTGCAGCCCGTTCCCTGTCCCACCCGACCGTGGCCGCTCCCGCCTGTTCCCTATCCTCCTAACTCGGTTGGGCCCGGTCCCGCCTCCTGCCTGGTCCTATTCCGGCTGCTATTCCTAACCATGCTGTTCCCTGTCCCACTGCTCACTGATGCGGCTGTTCCTGGTCGCGCCTGCTGCCTGACCCCTGTTCCTTGGCCAGGCTGTTCTCTGTCCCCCCTAGTGCCCAACCCGGGCCGTTCCCGGTCCCCCCCGTCCCTGTCCCTGTCCCCGCTGGCCCGCCCGCCGCTCCCGCCGGAGCCCTGACGGCCCGTGGGCGTGGCCTTTTGAGAGGGGGCGTGACCTCAGAACGCTTTCATCACCTCGGCGCGCCGCCTCTCCTGCCTGACGTCATCGCCGCGCGCCTCCGCCCGGCAGCGCCATGTCCTTGTGGGTGTCCCGGCTCGGCCGGGCCGCGGCCGCCCGGGGCCGGCGGGGCAGCTCCGGGCCGGGCTCCGCCGCGCTGGGCTCCGTCCTGCTGGGGGTGAGTGGAGGCGGCTGGGCAGGGCTGTGTCCGGAGCTCTGTCCTGCTGGGGGTGGGCGAGCAGAGACAGCCTGGGGCCGGAGATGCCTCTCGCTGAGGCTGGGCCGTTCCCTGGGAAGGGACGGTCCCGGCAGGGAGCTGGGAGAGGCGGCGAAATGCGAGGCAGAGTGGAGCGAATGCCGCAGAGGGCAAGGCGGCGACCTTCGCTTGCGGCTGTGGGCAGTGGTGCTGCGAGGAGAGAGATGTTAAATAGGAGCGAAGGCCTCGGTGTAAGAGCGGCCTTCGCTCCTATGTAACTGCTCGGAGCGAGGGTGTACAGGGTTTATCGGGATACCTGGGAGGCCCTGCCTTCAGCCCCATAGCCCAGGTGGGTCCCTCTTGCCACCTCTCAGAAATCGTGCAATAGTTAAGGCTGGAAGAGACATCCAGGGTTACCGAGTCCAAGCTTTTGCCCACTAAGCCATATTGAAATGAAGCTGTAAGTCTCCTAAGAGTGGATTTAGTGTTAGTACGTGCCCCAAAGCACAGAAAATACAAGCAGAAGTCTAATGTTGGGTGTCTCTTGGGAACTCTGGGTGTGTTGTATGTCTGGCCTTCAGACTGAAAATTCTTCAATGTTTTCTGTCTTCTCAGCCTTTAATTTCATAAACATCTTCCCAGCCTAACTACTGCTGCAGTTGCTAAGCTGAAATTACAGTGCTAAGGTTACTGAGTAAAAAAATCCTTGTATTAGATGCATAAGAGTGTGTCCTGTGTGTGTGTCTGAAGAAACAGCGTTTTTAGCTAAAAAATCCCTCCAAATCTGCTGATTTCCATGGGTTATTCTCCAGGCAAGAATCCACACCAGCCCTGAGCAGAGCCTGCAGTATGGGTGGCTGGCCTACATGCTGGGAGAAAGGACCAGCAAGAAGTTCACAGAGCACAGCAAAGTCTTCACAGTGGAGGGGAATCTGTCTTCTGGGAAGGGCAAGCTGGCCCAGCAGCTAGCAGACAAACTGGGTATGTCTCACTCTGGCTGCTTCCCTGAGAGCTGGCAGGGTTTAATCGTGGCTCTTGTGCGCAGGGCGCTCAGCAGAGCAGCAGTTCCTGACTTGGAGGGGCTGGGGAGGGTCTGTGGGTGCTGCTGGTGAGGTTTGGAACGGGGATCTGTTGCGAGTGAAGCTTCAGTTCTAACGGAGTCTGTGCTCCTGGAGGGCTTGGGTGTTCCACGTGGATGTGCTTGGAGCAGCTCAGCTCTGCCTGGGCAGGGGCAGAGCTCGGGGTTTGGGACCGTTGCCCTGTGCTGTGGTGGGCAGAGGAGCTGGGACTGTTTGGGAGCTGCTCCAGGAGCAGCTGTGTGTTCAGCAGCTCCGGAGGCGTTTGCTGCAGATGAACGCAGCTCATTCCTGCTGTGGGTTCCTTCTCTTTCTCAGGAATGAAGTACTTCCCTGAGGCAGACATCCACTACCAGGACAGGCTCTCAGGGGACGGGAAGCTGCTGCCTGAGAAGTTCAATGGCTTCTGCAGCCTGGAGAAGTTCTACACGGATCCCCAGTCCCCCGACGGGCACTCGTACCGCCTGCAGTCCTGGCTCTTCGGGAGCCGCGTCCTGCAGTACGCCGACGCCCTGGAGCACCTGCTCAGCACAGGTTGGGGGCTCGTGGAACGGTTTGGGCTGGAAGGGACCTTGCAGCTCCTTCTGTTCCAACCTGCAGCCTGTTCTGCATAACTTGCACCCTGATCTCCCTTGCAGGCCAAGGCGTGGTGCTGGAGCGCTCTCCCTACAGCGACTTTGTGTTCCTGGATGCCATGTTAAAGCAGGGATATGTGCACAAGAGATGTGAGTTCCTGCCAGCAAAGGGAAGATGTTTGGCCACAATCTCTCTCTCGGTTAACTTTACTTTAAAAAATAAACAAAACATTCCTGCTTGGAAGGAGGGATTCCTTCAAATGTTCAGTGTTCATATGTTGCTGAGTGGAGCCAGTCTGGTGTCAGTGGCTGTGAGAGGACAGAAGATAGAGGGCATGAGTTGAAATGCAAAACCTTTTCATTTGTAAGGAAAAACCCTTTTTCTGCTGTGAAGGGAGTCAAACCCTGGAGCAAATCACGTGGCATCTCCCCCCTGGAGATACTTAGAATGTTGTGGGTGGACTTCCCTGCAGAGTGGTTGAACTGGGTGATTGGGGGATGTTCCTCCCAACCTGGGTGATTTGGTTTGGGAGGAACATCCCCCAAATCATGGGCACTGAGCTCCTGAGCTGTTGCTGCCTGTTCTTAGTAAATCTGTTCTTTTGGCTGCTCCTGAGGTGGACATAACTCCTTTCTTGACTGCCTCCTGTTTTTGCTCTTGGTTTTAAGAGGTTTGTATTTGTCTTTTGCCACCTGCTGTAAGTTGCTGGATGGCTTTGAGAGCTGATTAAAATGACCTGTGTCTGCATTGCTGAGGCAGCAAAGCCCAGCAACCCACAATTTAATGCAAAATCCCCGTTTGGATTGTACTGAAATCCTTAGGGAACAAACATCTTGATTAGAGCTACTGCTGCTTATTGTGTGTAAATGGTGGAGGAAAAGCTGAGATTCCTGTAAACCTGAGTCAGGAATGAAGTCCCTCTCTGATACAACTGAGTTTAGATTCTTCGATCTCAGTGCATGGAACTCCTCTGGAGATAGTTTTTCTGTGCACTTCCTGAATTCTGGTTTGGGGAAAAGCATACCCTAAACTTGCTCTGTGAGCCCAAAAGAAGAGACTGCAAATACAGATGTGGGGAATGTGATTTATTTGTGTTTTACACAGGCCTTGATCACTACAAAGAGGTCAAGGAGATCAGCATTTCTGAGTTCCTGCCACCTCACTTGGTCATTTATGTAGATGTGCCTGTCCCAGAGGTGCAGAAGAGGATTCAAGACACGGGCAAGGTAATTTGATCTCTGATTATTGCCTAGCTATCTCTTATCTTTATTGTTACTTGTCTCTCACAATTGCTGCCTGCTAATGTCTGTTGTAATCACACCTTGTATGGGAGTTCTGTGGGGTTTGCTGCTGAATGCTGCCCCTGAGGAGCTGCTTGTCCTCTGAGGTGTGAGATCGGGGTGGTGGTGGTGACTCTGTGGGTATTCTCATATGCTTGATTTAAAAAAAGGTTAAAAAAAAGTCAAAAATCGACTTTTTGTGTGACTGCATCAATATGTTGTCATTTGTGGAATGAGAAATTGTTTGAAGAGCAGGTGAATTTCTATACCATGCTGTGTAACTCCCACTGCAGGAGCTGTGGGCAGGTGATGTGTTGCTTGCAATGCACTTAGAGATTATATATTTCTTATTCCTGAGTGCCAGGAGCCCAGCTGGGCTCCCTGGCTCCTGCTTCCCAGTTGACTGCTTCCTCACACCTGTGCTGGGGTTCATGTGTGAGTCACCTGGGATCAGCAGGTTCACTTAACTTCCTGAAACCCAGCAAATCACTGCTGGATGACTGCATTACTGAGCTAGTCTTGGCTCAGGGAAGCTGTAGGTTGCTTTTGGGGAATGACTAATCTAAGTAAGGTTTGTAATTTGGATTTTGTTTCCCCTCTTTCTTTGATACTGTTTGCAGATGTGTTATGAGGATTCAAAGATGTTTGTCTTGCCTTGTTGAAAGGCTATGGGAAATGCAATTTAACTCTGGAGAACCTGATAGATTAAAAGAAAGCTTTGATTTATTAGAAAAAAGTTCTCAGTTGAGGAGTTCTTAATGTATTGGAGGAGCCTGTGAGTTCTTAGCTCTTCTGAGCATGAAAATCAGTGGCAGTTTGGACACCTTTGGACAGAAATTGCTGATTTTTTGGGTCAGTGGCAGTGCTGAGCTCTGTAGGACTTGTTTGGGGAACACATGGTAGATCAGAGAAATTCCTGGTGTTTTGCAAATGTGGCATTGAAAGTACACTGTGTGGAAGGCAAGCTGGTTAACAGCAGGGGTGATATCCATAAAATTTTACAGGAGTTCAGAGTGGCTGTTTGCCCATGCACTTGTCTGAAACTGTGGAAATAGGTGCAATTTTGGCCTCCTTATGGAAAAGGCAGGGTCAGTCTTCTCCTGTTTTCTGGGTGGTTATTGCACCCCCTGGAATGTGTAGTTAGCAGGGATGAATCAGTCCTTGGGTAGCTGGGGGCTACTCTAGCTATTTCATGGCATGTAAGGAATTCCAAACACTCCAAATAATACTCTTAATTCTTTGAAACTTTCACTGATGTGCATGTGGGTCACTTGGATGTTTGACTGCTTAGCCCAGAGTGAGCCCTGGGCAGGTGGTGGAGCAGACCTTGGAGTTTCTGCTGGTGGGAAAAGATAGTTAATTTCACAGCTTTTCTGTTTGTTTCTTTGTAGCCATATGAGAAAAAGGTGTCTCCTTCCTATCTCCAGAGCATCGAGGATGCTTACAAGAAGACCTTCCTACCAGCAATCAGGTTAGAAAAGCAAAATGTTTTGCCTTTTAGGTCTTTGAGCAAAAATGTGTGCAAACCTCAGAATCTCTGCCAATATCAACAAATTGTGAAAAAATCCTCCTTGTGCTGCAGGGTACTGTACTGTGCCCTAGTGAAGGGGTGCTGCATTCACAGCATGAGACCTGTGTGAGTGTAGTCAGCTTGTGCCATCCCAGAAGCCTGATGCCAGTGCTGGAAGATGAAAATGGGTTCAGGAGTGGTGTGCAGAATGCCACAGCTATGGATGTGTGCTTTTGCACAACCTGAGGAGAGAGTGA